TGAGCCTCATTTCATGCACCAGAATTCATTAGCATAGACTTGTGGCTCTAATGCACACTGCGTTTTTGCTTAGACAATCAGATATTGCGCAGTGTAAAGCCAATCATGGTAATGGCTGTATGGCCTGGGAACACTGGACAGTCCAATCATCACCCTTGCCTGAGAGTGCCTTTTTCCAGGCTTGACATTTGATACATGATTGCTGCTTCCATTCAGTTTTGTTTTGATCGTCAGAGAGCCACCCACGCTGTTGGAGGCCGGATTGTTTGGTGTTGTTGCTCACAAGTACTTGACTGCAGCTCACTGAGGTCGAGGGCTGTTCTTCAGAGCCTGGGTCGTTACTGGTTGATCTTTGAGCTCGGCTTCAGAGGGCAAGGAACTCTGGGTCAGTCATAAGTGACCACTTGATATGGGAAAAAAGAAAACCTCACACCACAGTGTATAAACAATACGCTGACCTGCTGGATTTGCATTGAACTTTAAGACTTTCTCTATCCAGCATTCTTTTGTTTGTTTGTTCTTATTTACTGATGCAAAAACTCCTGATTTTTCTTTGTTTAACAAGCCTGACTCCCCCATCTCATGAGCATCACTTTACTTTAGGCTTTAGAATCTTGTGGGAGGAAGACTAAGCAAGTAATTGTTTACCAAACGGCAGATTAATTGTTGTTAAGGTCTCAGGCTAATTACTGCCCAAGAAACCAGATCAGCGACAAATTTCATTACATTATCTTGTGTATGTGTGTGTGTGTGTGTTCGTGCGCGCTAGTAAAATACCATTATATTTGTGTCACACATAGACACCCACACACCCACACACTCATACAAACACACAATGGCTACTTAGTGAAGCAGCAGAGCAGAGGGAGTAATTACAGTGTAGGACAGGTCACTAGGCCCGCGGTTCACCTCAACCCTGAACACTGGAGCTATTCTGGACCTCTGGGAAAATAAGAAGGGTTGCACTCAGAGGCCAACTTCAGTCACCAGGCTAAGAACATTAATTACTCATAGGGCCAACACAAGATTAGACTGTAATTGGTGGGTTTGCCTGCTCACATGAATCAGCGAGTGCCTCCACTGACCACTATATCAGTGACTGATTATAAGGATTGGGTTTTTTTCACTGTAAGTGCAGGGCAAATAACCCCCTGCTAATACAAATGTGTGTTATTTGTTTTGCATACATGTCAAAGTAATTACGCACTTGGTAGGGCATGTGAAATTTATGGTCATATAATGGAGATTATGCAGGGAAAAGAGGAGGGGGCTGGGAGCATTCCACCACGCTGTGTTTGCACACCATGACCTGGACTCAGCCCAAACAGTGTGTTTGTGGAAAGACCAGTGTTGCTGCTTCACGAGTGTAATAGGTAAACCATCAGCTAATCTTAGTGTTGTCTGAGCTGCACTTTAAGGTTCTGTGTGTAACTTTTCACCAGGATAAACCTTTGATCCTTGCCAAGGGGTGAACAGATTGGGACATGACTCAAACACTGAGACTTGGGCTGACTTTGATGTTAAGGACTCGGACCATATTTTCCTGGAAAATCTAAAGGATGTGACATTATGCACATTCTTCAGTACTTTGCCTCTCCTCAGCTCAGCTACAGCAGTAACAGTGTACGACAGTAGCGAAGAAGCATCTTGGATGAGAGGTGAAACGTCTTCAAGAAACTCAAGCAAGTCCAGTTCCCTATGATATCCTACTGAGACCCTGTGTCCTCATATGAGGACATCACATTTTGGGCTTACTTGACCTTGTACTTGATTCTACTTAACTTAGACCTGTTGTCCTCATTTGTGGACACTTTTTTGTGCATCCTAGTGGCAGTAAGAGCACAATACATAAATCCATGTGAAAACAAGATGGCAGCCATCTCTGCCAAGTCAGTCTGCAGCCAATCGACACAAAATTGGACAAGGTCCAAAACCTGATCACATTTAATGGTTGAAACTTGTTTATCTGTGATTAATAATGTTTGTAGCTTGATATGGCAACTAGTTTGACCAATTTCAGCAACAGTAACAAGCTAAGACACTAATTAAGAAGTAGTTGTTTGAAGACATTAGGACTTTATTGTCATCTCATTTGAGGACATTGGGACTTTATTATCATTGACAATGAGTGCGTTTACATGGACAGTTTAATTCCCTTTTCCTTCGGAATGAAAGTTCCGAAGGAAAAGGGAATTACTTGGAAGATTAGAGATAATCTTGTAAACACCTCATTCGGAATGAAAATGGCTAATGCGATTGGGACATGGGCGATTGAAAATTCAATCCGATGTAAGGGGCTGGAATATTCTGAATATTCCAAATGAAAGAATTTCTCGCACTTGTATACACTCATTCCTCTTAAAGTTCATTCCGGTGTTTCTGCGCATGCTCGTTTCCTTGCCCTTGGCGCAATGATGTATATAGTGCGCGCGCGACTCGTTGCACTAACCAGTTTCCATTCGCCACAGCACGGTCTTCTATCTCCCTTCTTCGACCTTCTACCTCCCTTCTTCGACCTTCTACCTCCCTTCTCTTCCTCAACAGACGAAGCATTAGCAGAACGAGGTTGTTGTTGTACTGCTGCTTCAAGAATATAAGCAAAACAAGCCCGAAAAAGGCACTAAGAACAGTGTCGTCAAGCATCTTGTTATCCGGAACGAGGTCTACAGTGTTTTCTTCCGGTAAACGTAAACACGTAACATCCGCCCCGCCCCCTATCCAATCAGAAACCTTCCCTGCCCCAAACCTTGCGCGGACCAGAATACAGGCCATTAAAAGGTGATTAAACTGATCTCCCGGTAAACCCTCATTCGGAATGAATATTTCCCATGTAAACTACATGGAAAAACTTTAATTCCGAATGATTTCATTCAGATTTATTTCATTCCGAATGAGAAGCCATCATGTAACCGCACCCACTGTGTAGTTTTTTTTATACTTATTGGGTCCTACTGACCCCAAATAGTAGGGAAAAAATGCATGTCAAACAAAAGGTCAGGTCCCAGGAGGATATAGCACTTGAGATGACCGTGACCTGGATGACTGAGAATCTTCACCAACAACAGTAGCTAACGTTAGTCTGCTCATATTAACAAACGACCAACACCTACCACAACATAGGGTCCACACATGCTGTTTCAGTTATATACATTTTACGTCTGAGTGGATTTGTTAGTTGGCTAGTTCAGGATTTGTCAGTTGTCTTGCTTGCCAAATTACTTCCCCCGCTTATGTGCTACATGATACTAACTAATGCAGCGTAGACTAAGTGTTCCATACGCTTTTCACAATTAAGCACACATCAGTGAGCACTCCTCTGTTGTTCTGTCTGTTGAGCCAAACAAGAATGTTTGTGAGCTCATGTTAATGTGCTCATTCTTCGGGGGAATATCCACAAGACAGTCTATACTTTAGCTGATGTCTTTTTGACCAGTGGTATCTTAATTTGTAAGATCAGAGGCTCAAAGGTGTTCCATACAGAGGGAATATAATATAAAGTCACAAAGCACAGGAAATATTACCTGATTACTTGTTTTAAATGAATCGTAATCAATCATGTATCAAATCTGTGAAATCCTATCATGATTGCTCACAGGATGATGTGCAATCAGCGTCTATATTGACAGACTTATAGCTGCAGTTTAGGTTTGTAAACCTCCAGTACTGATGTAAGAAAATGGCCATTTTAAAGCATTTCTTCAACAAAAGACAAAATATTTAATAGCTTGTAATAACATAATAATCATTTAATATAGACTACGGTACTGTGAGAGACCTAAATAACCTCGAACATGCATTTGAGATTGGAGCCTCCTTTCCTTCCATTGTCAAGTGCTTCATGCGTACCTAGCAAACTTACTGAAATCTCACAGGAACAAATGGTGCGGAGGTCTCTTGCTTGGTCGGGAATGAAGGAGGGGGAACTGGAGATGACACACAGCATTTTTTCTCATGGCCTGGAAGTATTTATTCAGCTATTGGCAAAAAATGGTAATCTATGTAACACTGTTAGTCTATGTAAGCCCTAATGCAACAACTGCTGTTGATTTAGCCAGTGATAACAGATGTAACAGTTTAAAGTGCTTTCTACTAGCCAGAGGTGATACAGCCTAACCCTAACCTGAGATGATGTTAGCCAGCTAGCTGTAATTTAGCCTTTCATGGTTGCTCCTAGCGTCAGCTGATTTGGTAATTTGCAAAAGGTAAGCTATGTGGTATTATGGGGCCAAGGGGTGAAATGAATTATAGAAACATTGCAGATAGTAACATTATGCTAAATAATGATTAACTTTTTTTCCAGCTTTGTATCAACATGATGACAGTCAATCACAGTCAGTTGTGTGTTTGGCACCGTTTTGGCCGATGCTCATGTGTTTGCTCGTGGGCACTGAGTACAAGTACTGGAGCTCAAGCAAGAGGATGTTGAGTACAGTTTGCTTAACATTAGAAAAATGTCTCTAAAAACAAGGACTGTCTGACAGCTATAAAACCTTAAATCAAGGACACTAGCTCTAGATTTAAGCTGTTTTCATCTGTTTGGTTTTGTTCTGTGTAAATGCCTAAAACTCTTATAAGCTAATGGCCTTTGAGCAACTGACATTTGATAAGCTACAATTTAAAGATCTTTGTCACACTGCCAGTCAAGGAGGGCCTGTTGTGGTTTTTAGATGTGCACTTCCTTTATGTCCTATAATTAACTGGAACTTTCACTCACTACTGTACCTTCCTCTGAGTGTTTCTTAATGTGTGATGCAGCGATTTGGTAAAGCTAGAAAAACCAGACTGTAATGAATTAAGAGTTGCTTTCCAGTGTTGCTTAATCTGTCACAGATGATGCGTTGATTTCCCAGAAGCAGGCAGTACTTGAAACTTTGCCACAATATTTCCAGCACAAACACACAGACACAGACAGACACAGAGTTTGTACAAAGAAAACATCAGACACTCATGCCAGCAGAAACACACACACCTCCCACCTTTGCTGTGGGGTTTCCCAGTTTAGACAGTCTTCATCCGGAGCCATGGGAGGGGATGGGCCAATACAAAATCTGACTCAAGCCCGAAAAATCTGTCAGTCTACAGAGTAATGAGTTAGAAGAGCAGACACTTGGGCTTGAGGGGCAGACATTTGCTGACACTTTTTCCAGAAGCACCCAGAAGAACTGTTACTTTGAAGACTATTATTTTGTTACATCTACCTTGAATCTGGACACATTACACGTTTTGACAGAAAATCCGGTGGAGTGTTTTGTTCTGTCAAAACCACAGGAGATATCATCACTGTTTGTGTCAGACTGTGGCCATGTCGGCTGACAGACTGAGCAACGTGTCAAAGGAGGTGAAGCCAGAGAGCGTGTCGCTGTGTCCTCTGGGCACGGCAGCTGCCCCTGAGCGGGAGCTGCTGTGTATCTTTGGGACGGGGGACTTAGGGCGCACTCTGGGCCAGCGTCTGCTCCAGTCTGGCTACAGGGTGGTGTACGGCAGCCGCAGACCTCACAGCTGTGGCCCCTTGCCTCAGGGGGCTCAGGTACAACACACTGCATGATGTCTTCTCAAACTCTGGAACTTCTTTTCCTGTTCTTTTGATGTTGTTGTTGTTATAGTCGACAGCTGATATGTCCACACATGTGTTGTACGATGGTCCTAACACAACTCAAATAACTGTGTCAGTAAAAGTGCAAACATTGTGCTAAGAAAAAGAAAACGTTGTTATCAGACTTTGAAAGTTGACTGAACTAAACAAGGTCACTGATAATGTGTGTGTTCATGTGTGTCTGCACGTGTTGCCTTGTTTTGTTTTCATGATTCATGCAATATGTGCTTAGCAAGTGAGCTATCAAAGAACACACAGAGCCTGTTATGAGAGAGCATGCTGCCACACTGAAGGGCCATGAATGACAGTCGTGTTTGTGTGTGTGTGTGTGTTGTGCAGGTGCTGAGCCACGAGGCAGCAGCCCAGTCAGCCGATCTGGTCTTTATTTGTATTCACAGAGTACACTATGACTTCCTGGAGACACTTGCACCTCAACTCAAGGGGAAGGTACCTTGTTGCACAGTCAGATGCCTTTGTTTTAACATAGCAGCTGGTTCATTTCTAACTTTTCATCCACTCTGCTGATTTCATTGATTGTAAGGTGCTGGTGGATGTCAGCAACAACCTCAAGAAGAATCTATACCCAGAGGCCAATGCTGAGTATCTGCAGAGGTAAGAGGAAATCAGGCAATAATGCAATTACCGAACAAACTGGGATCTCTCATGGATCATGTGGTTTGAATCAACAACGTCTGGTGGAACATGAAGGAAAACAGAGTTTGTTGTTTGTTGTCCAGGCTGATCCCTGGAGCTCATGTGGTGAAGGCTTTTAACACCTTGTCAGCCTGGGCCCTGCAGAATGGACCCTCAGATGCCAACAGACAGGTACTCTTAGTGTTTGTGATGTTTCCAATCAAATGTATTAGTAGTTTTGGGTGGCCAAAGTATATTTGACACTGAAACTAAAAAAAGGACTTCATTTGATTTTCTTCTTCTGCTATTTAGGAATTTTTTCAAATGGTAAATTATCCCATTTTAGAATTAAACTATTCAACACTGCCTGTCAAATTCTTCTCCTACTGCAGAACTACAAGCATTTTACAATTCTCTGATGTGTTCACACAGTGGGGCGCTGACCAACAAGTTAAAAATAATAGTCTCTTTCAGAAAGGAAAACATTTCAGTCCAAACTATATTATTAACTCATTTTGAAGTTTTGATCAAACCAAATCCAAGTAAAAGAAGCCAAATCTGAGGAGTCAGCCTCATGTCTTTGCTGTGAATGCCATCTCTGATGTATCCTTGAATCAATTAACTCCACAGTCTCTCTTAGATCTAAGCTCTCCATCACATGCTTTGCTCTCTCGCTCTGTACTGCAAAGCTGCAGCATATGTGGGTTTTTCTGTTTCATTTTGATCTGGTTGTGCAATCCCAGAGGATGGTAAAAACCACACAGCGTGTGTGTGTGTGTGTGTGTGTGTGTGTGTTGTGAGGGGTGTATGTTTATATATTGGTATGTGGTACATTTGGAGCACAATCAGCAACATCACATAAGTGTTGACTGAGCATTGTTGTTAGTCTTTACCTGCATTCTCCAGCTAAATTTAGTATTTCATGCAAGAAGCCACAGCATCTCCAGCTACTTTTATGTTCAGTCCTCTGGAGTCAACATACCCTTTCATCATTGCGTGTGCAAATGCATAAACATAAATGTGTAAAAATGAAATAATGAAGACTTATGCTTCTCACATGGGGCATTTCAAGTGCTTTAAACAACTATGGGGATTTTCCTGGTTTCCAGGTGTACGTGTGTGGAAACCGTGCCGAGGCAAAGCAGGCAGTAGCAGAGGTGGCCACCAAACTGGGCTTCGCTGTTGTGGATAGAGGGTCTCTGACTGCAGCCAAAGAGCTGGAGGACTTCCCACTACAGCTCTTCCCAGAGTGGAGGCTGCCACTGCGCATAGCCGTCGGTCTCACCGCCTTCTTCTTCGTCTATGTGGTCATGAGAGATGTTGTCTATGCGTATGTTGACCAGGGGAAAGACATCTCCTTCAGAATCATGGTGTCGATGGCCAACAAGGTAAAACCTGTTTAAATGGGCATTTGTTCCTCTTTGAACGTAACTAATTTGACTCTGGGGTATCACAGTAACCACTTCTGTGTTTGTTTTCTACCTCTCAGGTGTTTCCCATTGTGTCTCTCACCATGTTGTCTCTGTGTTACGTGCCTGGTGTCATAGCTGCCTTCCTTCAGCTCTACAGAGGAACCAAATACAAGTCAGTAACAACAGGGACTAACATTTAGTGCCCACAAAGATAATTTCCAACATATTTTAAATATTGTAAACTATAAGTCAAAGTATTTTTGTTCCAGGCGTTTCCCTGACTGGTTGGACCGCTGGATGCTGTGCAGGAAACAGATGGGACTGGTAGCACTTGGCTTTGCTTTCTTACATGTGCTCTACACTCTCATCATCCCCATAAGGTATGTTACAGGTGCACACATACCTACACTCTATTTAACATATCTGAAATATCCTATTTATTGTTCATTCTAACTAAAACAAATTGTGACATCGTTGAATGTGAAAGGACCCAAAATCGTAAATTTAACTACAGTCAGCTGCTACATTATAAACACCTGTCTAACTCTAATCTAATAGCAGCCCTGCAATAAATCCTACCCTCGTGGAAGTCTTAATATTTAGCTTGTACATTTAAAAAAACAAAAAACAAACTTAATGTTTGTCTTGGGTGCTGTGGTTTGTGCCGCTGAGAGATGTTTTTAATATTTAGTCTACCCGCTTAGATATAAATTGGGTTACAAGGCTGTTGTATTAAGCTGTATTACTTTTAGTTAAGCATACCTAATAATACAGCAACCAAGTGTGTGCTTTAATCAATGCAAAAATTGTAGGATCAATAAACTTACAGGGACTCCTGTTATAGAAAAGTGCCTTATATTGTTATATTATTATTATTATAGTGTCATAACACAGAGTGCCTTATGAGAGGGAAAGGCCTGATTTGCGGCCGCTTAAGAAAGAAAGAAAGAAAGGGTACTTCCACACCTGCCCTGTTTGGTTTGGTTCAATCAAACTCAAATTCTGTGTGCAAGTTCATGTGGGCAGGTGTGAACACAGCAATCACACTCAGGTGCACACCAAAACAACCGGTCTGGTCACAGACAAACTCTGGTGCAGTCTGTTTGTGGTGAGAATGTGTTCGGACCTCGATCTGAACCAACTCCAGTCACATGACACATTGAGCGCGTTTACATGCACACTAATAAACCGATCATTATCTGATTTCTGGAAGTTACCTGACTATTCAAGTGGTCATGTAAACAGCATAATCCGATAGGCTTTATCAGATAAAAGCCATTATCTGATTATGAGAAATCAGATAAACACACCTAGCTTTTTCCCCAATAGTCAGATTATTGGGTGCATGTATACCCTTTAATCTGGTTTCTTTTGGGTTTTGCTATTTTATACTCCCACTCTACTACATTTTAGAGGGAAATATTGTACTTTCTACTCCACTACGTTAATCTGACAGCTTTTGTTTCCTTTCAGATAAAGATTTTACACAAAATAATATGTTTTTATATTCTCAGTGTTTAAATTGTCACTTTTATTTTATCTTACTTATATGTTATGCACTTTGTGTGACAAGTTTATATACAATACACTTGTATATTGCTCTTTGCAGTACTTTTACTCCGAATCTACCCAAAGTATGTAAAATTGGCTCCACATTGATAAACTACACATTAGAATGCTCTCACATGTATTTGTTAATGATAAAAACAAACAGTACTGTAAGAATATAAGCTGTCAGCATGATGAGTGCTTTATTTTGCAAATATATGACTTGCGTACTTTTAGAGGTTTTTCAAGGATATGAGTACCTACTGTAACAGGAAGTTTGAGTTTTATGTCATGTACTTGAGGAGAAATCCAACTAAAGGACTGAATCATGTAAACAAGGTTTTTCTGATTATCAGATTATTGAAGTGCATGTAAACACGTCAAATTGGATTATTACCATTACCTGATTATTCCCAGTTATCTGATTATTGTGCGCATGTAACCGTGCTCATTGTTTGGGTTAAACATGAGCATGTTACAGTCCTGGAGGATTATTAATGTGCACCTCCTCCTCCTCCTGTACTGCCTTAATATGCACATTCAGCACATCCAATGCATCAACACATTGTTTTCTAGTTGGAGCCGCGCCTCGTTTTCAAACTGTATGGTTTGACTAAAATGAACAATGACAGCAATACAGTCCACGATGACCAGCGCTAAAATCAACCTGCGTAGCTGTCCCTCCATTGTGACATTAGAAAGTGTCACATTTATCTTGCAAGTGTACTCAGCTTCAACATTTTGTTTACTTCCTGGATTTTCCCTGCATGGAAATTCTGACCAATCAAGAGCAGCTTTGTCACACAAGGCATTTTATCTGGTCCACTTGTAAATGCTGAAGTGAGAACGTGAACCAACTCTGGGCAATAATGCAACTTTGTAACAAAATAAGTCCCTGATTCAGACCAGAGCAAGCAAAGTCTAGGTCTGAAAGCACCCTAAGGTGCTACTAGGTGGTTATTGTAGTGTTCTGGGCATCAGCAACCACCTCAGGAAACCAGGAAGACGACCAACACTGCACAAATGGCTATGATTTACTCTGTTTATGGATGTTCCAGTCAATTAAATTGGGAAAAAACTCAGGGCACTTAAAATCCTGAAAAAAGCAGGACATGAGGCGAAGAAGTAAAATAAAAAAAAAGAAAAGAAAAAGACAGAGAAACAGTGGCAGATGTGGATCAAAAACCTCGTCCTCAGTCTGGAGGAACAGAGTCAACTCATTTCAAACATATAGGCTAAAGCGTTGTCTGAAACATGCCTTGAGTTGGATGCAATTACAGTGTGCTGTGACAACTTCTCCATATATTTAGCCACAACACCAATTCATTACAGTATTTCCAGTAGAAAATAGCTAGTGTGAGCTAACGTTGCCTTGTAATGTTTGCCTGACGGCGGTGCATCCATGTACAGAGTTGAAATATAAAAGAAAATTATACTCAAGCACATGTTTTCTTATTCTAATGACACCAGGAGTGTTTTTAAATAGTTTTAATTCTGGTAACAACCACCTTAGATACGAAACAATAATTAGGCCTGATGATTTTTTCTCTAAATACCTTTGTCATTTTCTTCTCTAGACATTACGTGAGATTCAAGATTGCCGCTGGTACCATTGCACAGGTAAGACAACCATGCAGCTGGAAAATAAGTGTGTTTAATTAAATTCAAAGCTTTCCATTTGCATAAAAAGTACTTGTTTATTCACATTCAACCACATCATATGAGTCTGCATATTTCTGAAGTAGTTTATAAACATCTCTCTTTCTTGTCTGCTGTCTCTTTAAGATCAGGGAGAACCGAACGTCAGTGTTAGACACCACCTTGGCCTGGCGTACTGACTCTTACTTCTCTATTGGGATTCTGGGATTTGGCCTGTATGTCCTGTTGGGAATAACCTCTCTTCCCTCCGTCAGTAATGCTCTCAGCTGGAGAGAGTTCAGCTTCATACAGGTAGACACTGGCATGTTTGTCTGAGTCATATGGTATGTGGATATCTGGATGTGTTAGAATGTGTGAGCTTCAGTGTGTGTGTGTGCACATTCACAGTGACACATTGTGGACATGGAATACAGAACTCTACTTGGGTTGTGCAGGATGCTTTTCAACCCGTCAGAATTTGACTGCGCCCATGCATCCTGTTTACACTAGCGGTCGCAGCTGGAATGTGAAATTTTTTTATCATAGTTTCCAGTGGTGCTGGCTCTATGGTTTCCCAAGGAGTCTGTTCAACACTTTTTTGCTTAAAGGCCAAGTGTATTGGATTTAGGGGGATAAATCGACAGAGATGTAATATGATATAATAAGGATGTTTTCTTTAGTGTGTAATCACCTGAAAATAAGATTAGTTGTGTTTTCATTACCTTAGAATGAGCAGTTTATATCTACAAAGGGAGTAGGTCCTCATCCATGGCAACACATTCTCACTCCGACCTCATCACGTCATGGACTTTCTAGTCTGCACGTGACTGTTCTACGTCCACATAGGACGTGCAAGTTACCCTGGATGCATGTCAAGTTCTGACTGTTACATGCATTGTCTTCTTTCAAGATACACTTCCATTTTCACAGGAAATTTAACGTTTACACACAGTCTCTTTCAAAATAAAGGCACTACGTCAGTACAACACTGCAAATTGACATTTTTTCCCCTCAACAACAAATTCACGTAGTTAGGTTTAGGCAACAAACACACGTGGTTAGGTTAAGGCAACAAAAACATGTGATTGGGTTTAGGCAACAAAAACACATGGATGGGTTTAGGCAACAAAAACACGTGGTTAGGTTTAGGCAACAAAAGCATGTGGTTAAGTTTAGGCAACAAAGACACGTGGTTGGGTTTAGGCAACAAAAGCACATGGTTGGGTTTAGGCAACAAAAACACATGGTTGGGTTAAGGCAACAAAAGCACGTGGTTAAGTTTAGGCAACAAAGACACGTGGTTGGGTTTAGGCAACAAAAGCACGTGGTTGGGTTTAGGCAACAAAAAAACGTGGTTGAGTTTAGGCAACAAAAGCACGTGGTTGGGTTAAGGCAACAAAAGCACGTGGTTGGGTTTAGGCAACAAAAAAACGTGGTTGAGTTTAGGCAACAAAAACACGTGGTTGAGTTTAGGCAACAAAAGCACATGGTTGGGTTAAGGCAACAAAAGCACGTGGTTGGGTTTAGGCAACAAAAAAACGTGGTTGAGTTTAGGCAACAAAAGCACGTGGTTGGGTTTAGGCAACAAAAGCACGTGGTTGGGTTTAGGCAACAAAAAAACGTGGTTGAGTTTAGGCAACAAAAACACGTGGTTGGGTTTAGGCAACAAAAGCACGTGGTTGGGTTTAGGCAACAAAAAAACGTGGTTGAGTTTAGGCAACAAAAACACGTGGTTGGGTTTAGGCAACAAAAGCACGTGGTTGGGTTTAGGCAACAAAAAAACGTGGTTGAGTTTAGGCAACAAAAACACGTGGTTGGGTTTAGGCAACAAAAGCACGTGGTTGGGTTTAGGCAACAAAAAAACGTGGTTGAGTTTAGGCAACAAAAACACGTGGTTGGGTTTAGGCAACAAAAGCACGTGGTTAGGTTTAGGCAACAAAAAAACGTGGTTGAGTTTAGGCAACAAAAACACGTGGTTGAGTTTAGGCAACAAAAGCACATGGTTGGGTTAAGGCAACAAAAGCACGTGGTTGGGTTTAGGCAACAAAAAAACGTGGTTGAGTTTAGGCAACAAAAGCACGTGGTTGGGTTTAGGCAACAAAAGCACGTGGTTAGGTTTAGGCAACAAAAACACGTGGTTCGGTTTATGCAACAACAGCACGTGGTTAGGTTTAGGCAACAAAAACATGCGGTTGGGTTTAGGCAACAAAAGCAAGTGGTTAGGTTTAGGCAACAAAATCACGTGGTTGGGTTTAGGCAACAAAAACACATGGTTAGGTTAAGGCAACAAAAACACGTGGTTGGGTTTAGGCAACAAAAACACATGGTTAGGTTTAGGCAACAAAAACACGTGGTTGGGTTTAGGCAACAAAAACACATGTTTAGGTTTAGGCAACAAAAACACGTGGTTGGGTTTAGGCAACAAAAGCACGTGGTTGGGTTTAGGCAACAAAAGCACTTGGTTAGGTTTAGGCAACAAAAACACTTGGTTGGGTTTAGGCAACAAAAGTATGTGGTTGGGTTTAGGCAACAAAAGCACTTTGTTTGGTTGAGGCAACAAAAGCATGTGGTTAGGTTTAGGCAACAAAAGCACTTGGTTAGGTTTAGGCAACAAAAACACGTGGTTGGGTTTAGGCAACAAAAAGAGCTGGTTGGGTTTAGGCAACAAAAGCATGTGATTAGGTTTGGGCAACAAAAGCACATGGTTAGGTTTAGGCAACAAAAGCACATGTCGCAATCACAGACCTCTCGGTCTTAACTTTTGTCCTTGTCCCGCCACGTTTCTCCCATACACCACCTTGCGTCATTAAACTATAATGGCATCCGTTGCGTATGATGTTGACGTTAAAGGACGCCTCTTTCATTGGTTTCTGACTTCACAAGTCACTGCACAAGTGCCGGATTTTCATGACTTCGGAGTGAGACCGGGCTCTCCATGGAGATGGCCATGTTGTACTGCCACGTTTCTATGTTAGCCCAGACTATAGAAACCAACCACTGGCTCTAGGTGGCACCATTCATGTTTTCATATCTGCCACCATAGTTAGAAGCCCATCAGTGTTGAGCACGGTTGGAAACCACAGATTCTTTAATGTGAAACAACTTTATTTAGTGTTTTTAGCGCTTTAAATCACCAGGCCCATTTGTTTTAGGAAGAGTTAGAGGAAGAGACCTCTGCAGATAATTCAGCTACCAGTAAAAAACCTTCTGAATGTCTGGATCTTAAGTTATCAAACAAAAAGGATGAGCACACATTAGCACGTGCTTGGCCAGTGGCCTATCTCTGATGATCCAAACTGAAAAACCAGTATAGTTATGCTGCGGCTGGCTTGCAGAACATCTGATGATGGGATGCACATTTAAACACACTGGATCCAGGGAGCCGTTTCAACATTTTATTGCAGACAGTTGATGAAGTTGTTGTCGGATTATTTTCTTTATAACAAGGAATATTTAAAAGGAAATGCTACCGCTCTGAATAATGTTAAACAATAGTAAAAATGCAATTAATATTAATAAACTGGGTATCATTTAACTTACGTCATTAATGCATCTGCTAAGGTATCACTCTTTTTTCTTCTTTTAACAACAGTTTAAACTTAGGAATCTTAGAACAATAATACAAAACAATCTGTTAACTTTAAATAATACATACAGGATTAACAAAGAAAACATTATAAAAGTGAAAAGTCCATATGCACTCACATGAGTCGTCTCTCTGTTCTACCTGGCATGTATAGAGGGGAAAAGAGAGTCACAGGCCTGAAGGGTGGAGTTTTATAGTTTTAGTTTTTATAATCTTGGGGGAATTTAACACGAGCAGTGTAGGAGAAACACTGATCTGTTATGTGAAACTACTTTATTCAGTGTTTTTATTGGTTTTGATGCCATGGTGCGTTTGTTTTGAAGGAAAAGACCTCTACAGACAATTCAGCTCCCAGTAAAAACATCCTGATCAGTGAAAACTGAAGGAATTCTAACTGGAAGAAGTTTTAGCTGGTTGCAACCTGCAATCTTCACCACTAAATGCCTCTAAATCCCCTGAAATCAGAAGAACATGTCAGTGTTTGTGCCTGTGTGTGTTTTTACAGGAATCATTAAATGTCAGATTGAAATATTTTCCAAAACACCTAAAATGACAAAGATTCGTATTCTGATCATATCTTTAGAAACTTCATCAGCCCACAAATTACATGTGTATCCACTGTCCACTTAGATTTACACTTACATGTTACACTCTCTTTAACAAAGTGAAAGCCTTCACAGCCTTTGTAGCCAACAGATTTGGCACAGGTAGCCCACAAACAGGAACATGAATGGCAGACAAGCCTATTTTACAGCCATTCCGATTATATTTTGCAAGCCAGCTCCTGATAAAATGAATACAAACAAGCTCATTGGGAAATATAATTTGGTACAACTGATTATCTCACCTCCACACTGTGGCCTTGAAAAGCTGCAAATGACAACCAGATTGATGATTCAGTTAACAGAGAGATACATGCTCACAATATTAAATAGGCTCAGTTGGTATCCACTCACAATGTGCCCACTGGAGGTATTTTAAAGCGCATTATGTAATGCTCTGTGTAATGCCACTACAGTATTGCACCTGTTTATGCTCTGGGCTGCTGAGTTTCAGTTGGTGTGGAAATTTACAGAGAAGCTACTGGACCTTTAAAGTATGTGAATAGTGGCATAAAAACTGTTTGCAACAATATTCCATCATGTCCATGAGCCAAGATTCAAGCTATGACTGATGAGGACGATTCTGTGCTTCAGCCCCCAGATGGGAAACAGTGACGTGGGCTGTTTCCAACTTCCTGTTGGAAGTAATCTGTTGAAACCGTGTTGGTAATATTTCCACCCTTCCCTTGCTAAATCTTGTGTTGATTGTTTTTACTCAGGACGGGCAGACACAAACGTTTACCTTTTTTCCAACTCTGACCAATCGAAAATGAAATCAGCCTCACTACAGGGACCAGACTCATTCATAAATGTAACTGGGTCATGTCAAGCTCATTTTCTCATTCCACACCCCTCCCCTTTACTCCAGCCCAAATTAGAGCAGTGCTTTAAATGTTAAGTTATTCATCAAATGTAATTTGGGGGGCATACATTATCCTTTTGCCACAGTCTTTAGATTCAGTTCATGTGTATGGCATAGATCTACATGCTTGAAAATGTGCAAGTGTGCATGTGTTTGCGCGTTCCCCATCTACAGCAGTCGAATTTTCTCTATGTACATATGTTGCACACAAAGCAGATTAGCATGCTAGAGTGTGTGCACATGTGTAGGTCAAAAGCTTGTCTCGGTAAAGGTCAGTCTATCACTTACTGGGCCTATTATACAGTTATTAGTTCTGTGTTTTTCTGTGAAACTGTAACTGCATGCAACCAAATCACCCGAATAAATGTTGGCATTGTACGTTTCTGTAAACTACGGATATGTAACACCTGTACGTTATCATGTAACAGATATGTTGAAACATTATGTTTCACAGATTTATGGCAATCCAATCAGATTTGGCTGTTTAGTACAAATATTTGACTATTTGTTCCATTTTCTGAAGGGAGTTTGAAAGTCTCAACAGGGTTAAGGGGGACGTTCAGGGTGACAGTGACATTCACGTAAATATAATATAGGCAACTAGTAAAGTAAGCTGGGTCGAAATTGTGCAACACTAGATATCAAGCAAAAGTGTATTGTATTAAGTTGCTGTTAGCTGAAAATTCACCACTTCTAAGCCAACGTGTTCTCATCCGAACTCGGAGAATATCGCCGCTTTGTCTGTGGACCTTCATGTCTACATATGATACACTAGGTTTCGTCTTATGTCTGCTGTTGTTCCTGGGCACAGTGTCAATTTACTCTTGTTACATTCATTGCATCTTTTCAAAATACACTTAAGTTTTCACAGAAAATGTACAGTTTCTGCACCTTGGATGCAAACACTCAGTTTCCGAATAAAGTTGGAAAAGCACCTACAAATTATTTTTGTTTATTTCCTTGCCCAACAAAAGCACGTAGTTAGGCTTAGAAAAAAAATGTATGCTTTGGCTCAACATTCACACAGGAAGCAAACAGCAGGCTCCCGAGCGAAAGTCCAGGGTTTGTTGGACCCATCCACCTCCTCTCCCATCCACCATAGAGTGATTTTCCGGCTCCTTACATTATGTCGTTAAAAGCAGCGTTACAAACTGTACTGTACTTTTTTCTGTACAACATATATTGCACGTCTGTCCGTCCTGGAAGAGGGATCCCTCCTCAGTTGCTCTTCCTGAGGTTTCTACTGTTTTTTTTCCCCATTAAAGGGTTTTTTGGGGGAGTTTTTCCTTATCCGCTGTGAGGGTCCAAAGGACAGAGGGATGTCATATGCTGTAAAGCCCTGCAAGGCAAATTGTGATTTGTGATATTGGGCTTTATAAATAAAACTGATTGATTGTAGAATCGACAAACTGCAGTCAACTGGTGTGTTTCAGAACACTGCAAAACATGCCTTTGTGCATTGGTATCTTAAGCAGAAGTCCACCAGCATAGTGTTTAATTGACGACTTTGGTTGGTGACCACTGCATCAACAACTGCTACCACCTGGTGTGTATTATACCACCACAGATCATTGACAAAGTGGTGGTATTTGATGAGTTAGGAATGAGAGCTTGACCGGGCAAAGCCTCTCTTCCTCCGGGCAGCTGCCTTCATCTCACTACCAAAGAGCAGCATGAAAGTGAGGAGGGCTCACTCTACAGCTAAATCCGGGGACTAAGACATCCCTAGAAGTCCAGTGACTGGCAAAAAAAAGAACACAACTGCTCGTTTTGAAGAATCTCAGGGTCTCGGACTGATGATATCAGTCTTTGACTTTCAAGGGCCGTCCTAGAACTGTTGGATATGATACGTATGAAACACACTAATGTATCTGTGGTTTGCAGAAACATACAAAGCCACCATTATCTTCTGCTACTATCTTATCTACTGCTATGTGAATCTGCAAATGTCTTAACTTATCTTTCTCTCTCACAGTCCAAGCTGGGATACCTGACAGTGTTCTTCTGTACCTTTCACACCTACCTGTACGGCTGGGACAAGTTTCTTCGTCCCTCTTACTACAAATGGTACACACCACCGGCCTATTTGCTTGCTCTGGTGGTGCCCTCCGTGTTGCTGGTGCTCAAACTGCTCCTGCTTCTGCCCTGTGTGGACCGCACCCTCACTCGCATTCGACAGGGTTGGGAGAGGACTGATCCGGAGGACAGCAGCAAGAATGCACTGCTAACATAGAAACAATCGCAATGACAGAAACAAAAACAATGGGAAGGAAAAAAAAAATGCAGATGCAAAGACACCATGGTGACTTGCCCTCCAGGAGCTCTATCATTAGGTAACCCCGGCTCATTGTGTTAAATGACATGGATCCAAGACTGTACAATTGCACTTATTGTTCTGCCTTCGACAAAGTCAACAGAGACAAATGATTTAAACTCCTTTCAGTCTCTCTTTGTGTAATCATCTTGGAATTGCTCCCTTTATATAATACAATGGCACTGTGTAGGCTTTCATCAGTTATACAAATACCTTAGAGAATCATAGACACATGCATAAAAGCAGCCGTAGAACTTTTTAACTCCAGTGTTTCATAATTTTGCTATGTACTTTCAGTATTGTTACAGACTCTAACTCCAAGGCGGGCGACTTTGTTGTACTTCTATTAAAATCAGCAACAACAGTTTGACTTTGGTTTTTATGGCTCCAAGTATCTCATCAACTTACAGTATATGGCATCTTATATTTACTGGATTTATCTTGGATCATGCAAATTTTTGCATGTTTTGTTCTTCCTTATTCTTTTTCAGTAAACTTAAATGTGACTGAACGGTATTGTCTTGTATCTCTTTCTCCCTCCCATATACATCTCATGCTGTCTGAAAGCTCAATCACACTCAAAGAGTTTTCCCCTGCTGACTTGACTGTGCTCTGTCTAGTCGTCTTGGTCTGATCCCTCTCCGGGGTTCATCCCTCCGGCTGATCTGATGCTGTTCTCCAGGAAACATTCGTTCTGAGCTGCAGGCTTCTCCCCAGTCACTACTGGATCTCATCACATCAGTGGAGAGAGGAGTGTGCAGACTCCTCCATCACTGAAGTCCTCTGCAGAGAGGATATAATATTTGGATGTGACAGAACAGATAGGCCCTTGATGTTGTGCCGCAGCAAGTCATTTTAGTTGATCGTAGTGGGAGTGAAGAAAGCATAGAACTGAAAACTGGTAGTTATAGTGACACACGATCAAGCATCCATCCACGCACACATGCAGTATGATGTCACATGGCTCAGGGCACCCACACACACACCTGTTGTGTAGGAAGATGAACACAAGTCAAACAAAAATATTCATCACATGGTTTTAATCAACTTAAAACAAACAAACGTAATATTCTAATGAATGGTTATACTGCATTTTGTAAATCATGTTTAATAGATATTTATCTCCATCCGGCAATTACAAGAGGGTTTGTCCGTGAGGGTGCGAAGCAATTCAAGGCCTGTACAGTAACATCAGACAACAGCCAACTCAGAGGGGCACAACACTGGAGGTTACTGGCAGATCTAAATCAGTGTCTATGCTTCCCATCTGAGATTGCCTCTACTAACCTCAGACCAGACCTCGTGCTTTGGTCCTTCTCACTGCACCTTGTCTACATCATTGAGCTCACTGTGCCCTGGGAGGATGCTGTGGAGGAGGCCTACAAGTGAAAGAGCCTTAAGTACACCGAGCTGGCAGCTGACGCTGAGCAATGCGACTGGAAAGCAAAGGTTTGCACAGTTGAAGTGGGTTGTAGAGGCTTCGTAGGCAAGTCAACTACCAGAAATGGGAATTCGAGGCCAAGCCCAGCATCAGGCCATCAAAGCCCTCTCTGGCGCAGCTGAACGGTCAAGCCAGTGGCTATGGATTAAGAGGAAAGATGCCACTTGGGCCCTGAAATATCACTAACACCACTAAAACCCCCACAGTCCTCCCCCAACATGGCTCCAACTCCAACACACAATCGCAAATGTGTGCAACAACAACAACAACTGACCAGTTAAATTCCACCTAAATTAAAGTTAGATACATTTTCCTCCTATTAGTCTCTCCTCTCTTCCATTATCAAAATGAGGAAGCAGGGGGAGGTAGTTCAGTCTGCACAGGCATCTCTCCTTCGCTCTGCCTTCCCTATGCTCCTTATGTTTCTATCTACCTTTGCTCTTTCCTACTTTTCTATCCATCTAACCTTTACCCTTTGGCTCCCACTCAAACCCCCAGACAGCACTGTTATTCCCACTCATAGTCTCAAGTATGTGCATCAGGGATTGTAACATCTCGTCCTACACTGAACTTCCTACTTACCGGTACTTAAATGTCTTGATAGAGAACCAGCTGTTATCAACTCTATATGCATAGTATTTTAGTGACACGAGTAACCCAAGAAAAGCTGCACCTGTGGTACAGCTACCTGCACCTCCTTCTGCCCAAGCACTTCCCAAAGATACAACAACAAGCCTCAACTAAGAGACAACTATCTGCACAAACACACAGGGGGTGCTAAATAGGGCGACCCTCACAGTGGGGCCCATCTGGAGATTGCTGGGGATGTGAGCAGCCTGGGCACACTTGCCAGAACTATAATCCATGGCTAGACCCCAACTAGACAGAAAGGGCTCAACATAGAGAGGCAGGGCCAGAGAATCCGTGCGAGGGTCATTTGCCAGTAATAATCTCTGGGGCTGATAAAGAAACTATTTTGCAGGTTCAAATAGAAGGTGAGTCACCTCCAAATTTCCGAAAAATACAGGAAAAAAATAATTTTCTCTTGGATAACATAAATAATTCCAATGACAGCTCCAGTTCAACTGTCACTGAGGGTGGTACTTTAATGATGCCAGTGCTGGTGTCCAATCAAGCACCTATTAATTTGTTAGGGCAAGATGCACTGTGTGAATTAAGATTCAAAATTTAGTATTCATCACAAGGAGTGTATGTTGATAGCTCTGTAATAGGTTTGAGAATCTAGTGCCGTTAGACCAGATGTGCCATAATATAACCATGAATATACCTACTCTTCATCTGTGAAGTGTACAGACATGTGCAGTAGCATACAGTTATTGGATGTGTGGAAATGATGTTTTGTTAAATACTCCTGGACTTTGTATCCTGATACAAATGAAAGCACCCATACAGGTAGGCCTAGTGTACAAAGGGGTAGGAGATGTATTTGGATTTAATGAGGTCCCAAACAGCGTCCACAGGTTTAAAGGACAGTGTGCACCAGACTCGTGTATATTTAGATGATATAAGAGTACCTCTAGGAATTTCTAAGGAAATTAAAGCAAATAATGAAATAAGAGCTGGAATAGAGTCAATATTTCTTTGGGTCACACCAAATAAAAATGTTGCTTTGATTAACTATATCTATTATAACCAACAGCGATTCATTAATTTTACTAATGAAGCCCTCAGGACACTAGGAGAACAGCTCTAAGAAACATGTGGGATGGCCTGGGAGAACAGACAAGCCTTAGATTGGATATTAGCTGATAGGTGGAGTGTGTCAAATGTTTGGAGAACAATGCTGCACTTATATACTCAATAACACTTCACATGATGGAACATTTTCTTCAGCCATGTCTAAACTTAAGGAGCTCATTCATTCATTTTCCGTAGCTGCTTATGCGGTTAGGGGTCCCAGCTGACATTGGGCAAGAGGCGGGGTACACCCTGGACAGGCCACCAGACTATTGCAGGGCTGACACATAGAGACAGGCAACTATTCACGCTCACATTCACACCTACGGCCAATTTAGAGTCACCAATTGACCTAAGAAAGCCCACACTGACATGGGAGAACATGCAAACTCTGCAATGAAGGGCTCCCCCATCCCGGGGTATGAATCCCCCACCCTGGGTTTGAACCCTCTTGCTGTGAGGACAGCTTGACAGTGCTAACCACTGTACCACTGTGCTGCCATTAAGGAAATGAAACAAGAAGTAGGAGATGATGCAGGCAAAACTGGAGCGTTATAGGATTGGTTGGAATTGAAACCTGGATTGCGGGGAGCAAGTTTGGCAAAGATAGAAATAACCACATTAATAATTCTAGTTATACGTCTTTTGCTGGGTTGTTGCATCATACCCATTCTGAGAAATGTTCTCATGAGGAGTTTTGCAACACAGATGAATGTTGTGGCAACTACTAAAAGGATTAAGTTTCAACTGGCTGAGATGGTAACTGGACAGCTGGATTTGTTCCCTATTCCAGATTATATAATGGACAACAGTTCAGTCAATGCTCTCATTGCGTTGTTTTCATAGTAAAAGCTGTAAAAAGACACTGTACTCTACCTGCTCAGCAGCAAACAGCAGACACAGTTGGAAACTAGCTGGTGAAAACAGTGGAGCATTTAGCAGCTAAAGAGACAGATTTTTCTCTCAGCAGTTGGTGGAGACCAAAACAGAGCTACAAGAGAGAGACTACTGGACTGACGTTCATCCAGAGGACTCCTAAAGAATCATCATGCTCGTCTCTAATTGCTGGTTGTGGAAATAAACAACTGTTTGACAACAACTTGGTTTGGATTGTAACTTGGATTGTGGGGTGCAAGTTTGGCAAAGATAGAAATAACCGCATTAATAGTTGGGGGTTGTGCATGAACGGCACATTAGACTGCTCATAAGCTCTTTACCTTTTGAAACTACATGTAATATAATGTAATATATGATAATGGATTATATTCTGTACAATATTTTATTGTGAGATTTTGGCGTCATCATTTGATCAGTTAACGCAGATGTACTTGCATTCCTTATGACTGATACTATGAAGTATCCACTGTTTTTGATATGCGGTTGTGGTGTTTTATGTATTCAGCTAATTATCATATGTTAAGTTACCAAAGGATTGTATTTCTGACTTATGCTCACATTCATATGCACACTTAGATTTCATGTTTTGAATTACACATAACTGCACCATGCAGGCAAGTGCAAACTTTGAAGGTGTTTTGCTGTGCTTACATTTATAACTTTGTTTTTAATAACCCATGTTAACTATATAATCAGTTACAATCAATGCAAGCTGAGAACGTGGTCACCCATAGATAGAATTACAATGACAAATTTAGTGTAGGATGTTAAGGGAGCCATAGAGGAATTTCCCAACAGACAGCAAAAGCTAAACCAATGCTAAACCGGTGCTATACTTATGGTAAACTGATTCTAAACAAATGCTACATGCATGCTAAACATATTCAAACAAATGTTAAGTGAAGAGGCTGAGAGTCTGTTGGGTTTTTGCCTTCACATGCATTGGCTGATGGTTTAACTGTTAAAATGATTAAATGCTTGATTGACTGATGGGGTTGGATGACCACCAGAGGGGGGGATATATAGTGTAAATGACCTGGGATAAACTGTTGTTGTGTGGGGTCCATGTCATTGGTCCGACATCCCATTAGTCTGACTGTCCGAGGTGCTGAATGGCTCCCGGTGGGCGTATTTCTACCTTGACAGTGCGCCGTGACCGGCTCTGGGTCAGCTGGGATAGGCTTGAGGCGAAGCAGGCTCACAGCTTATGTGTTAGTTCTTTTTCATTTTAACCCACACCATGATCTTTTCCTGACCCTAACCAAGTGGTTTTTGTGCCTAAACCTAACCAGACCTTAACCACAGGGCATCATGATGATTTCGGAATGGACTTCGGAACAGTGGGTTTAATATGGTCGGAACAATGGGATGTCGGACCAATGGGCTGTCGGACCAATGGGCAGTTCCCTTTGTGTGAATATATAGTGTGCGTGACCTGACATAAAGTCTTATTGTCCTGACATGACTTCAGCAAAAATGGTCTTTGTGACTTCAACGAAATGATGTGGCAAGATTCCAACCAAATTTGTTTATGTAAGGAGAAGCAATTGTTCTCTGAGCTGGTTGCCTGAGTGGCAGGAAATAACACTTGGAATACTAAGTGTAGTACTGGGAAGTACCTACAGTACCTACTATGTTTGTTTGACACACATTATAAATTGTCATGATGTACCAACTCTTTGGCTTTCTCGCAAGTAAACCCTCAAATGTCCAGTCCTGTGTTTTGAGTCTCTTTATTCTACAACACAACAAGCTACAAACTGATGCCCAACACTTGTTGCTACAGACGGGGGTGACATTTACTTCAATTCAGTTAAAAAGAACTCAGTTTATCCTGAAGGAAATTCTTGTGCCAGAGAATGTTGAAAGTTATGGTAACACAAAAACAACCAGTGGGTTCCTCGGGTCAGGATCACTGACTGGACCCAGTTTTAAAAACAGTAGAGTATTAATAATCTGGCAAAATAGTTAAATATAAAAGGAGCAAAAGCAAAAACAGTGCCTAATAGAGTAACAATATGAGAACGATAAGTACGTGAGTTATTAAAAATGAACTGAAATGGTGGAAAAAAGCAGACTGCGAGGGCAACACTGTGTCACAATTGTTAGCATTGTTGCCTCACAGCAAGAGGGTTCTTGGGGTTGAATGGTTGTCTGTCTCTATGTGTCAGCCCTGTGATAGTCTAGTGACCTGTCCAGGGTGTACCCGCCTCTCATCCAATGTCAGCTGGGATAGGCTCCCAGCAGGATAAGTGGTTACAGAAAATTAAGGAATGAATGAAAGCAGACTGCACCTGATAATCAGAGTTATCTTGTATATGATATAACAATGAGAAGTAGTATTGCACATGATTTTAAAAAAAAGTGATTATGCACAACATTGACAAGTGAAATGCTACAAATAAAAGTTGAGCTGGCCTCAACTTTTCTCAGCGCTTCAATGACGCAGTGAAGCGTCAACCAATCACATGTTTCTGTTACTCCCTGTGGTACAGTATTATTTAGTGAAGATGACGCTATGCTAGATTTCAGTGCATTTCAGCGCACACGTGGATACAATGGGGCAGCGAAATGTTATGTCAAAATGGGGCTCAGACAGTGATCAAACACAGATATTTTTTGACCAAATACAAACTTTAGATTTGGTTCAGTCGAGGGGGCTTTGTAGCAGACACACACAAGCCAATGATGACGCAATGAGCACTTGGGAAACACTTCAACAGCAACTCAGAGATAATGTAGTGGGCCACACTGTTGCTTTGTCACTCGTGGTGTGAACTTAGCACAAGACAATCCTGCAAAGGCAGGTTGTTTGATGCGTTAATTTAGACAGTCTCCCTATGTTGCAAACTCTACCTTTTACTTTTCGTTCTTTTCCAGTAAATTTAACTTTGAACTGACATAACAGAATAATGGGCTGGTAACAGCCAAAAGAGGCTTCTTGAGTGAACAGCTACACTTACCACAAGCCTGACAAGAGGATGTTCTGTTGCTTTGGTGATACAGAATCTACAGTAGTCAGCTATTTGACTTGGAACTGTTCCCTTCAAAAACAGAAAACATCCTCATGTCCAACTTGAGGGAGTGGATGCTGTCCCCTGCAGCCCCCTTGAAGCCCACACCTGTGACTGTCACCAATATTTACAGTAGATATACAATCACATGATCATATATTTATTCTAGGTGTGTCTGTAGCTCTGATTTTAAGCCCTTCTTTAGCGACAACACAGCACCACAAGCAGACTGAAAAAACACAGAACTTGATCTTTCAACATTAGTGTGAATTCTGCCAAATCAACAAAAATCACTGGATGAAGCTTTTTACGAGATCCTGAGTCAGAAACAGCCCGGTAAACAGACTTTAATGAGGAAGCAGCAAGTGTGTGAAACTCATAATCTTATTCTGACAGACTACAAAGTAAGATCATGGCATGATGTGCACAGGAAAAATAGAGAAATTAAAATTGACTTAATTAAATGCAAACTTTTGTTCTTTGCCACTTGTATCTGCATGATGCATCACAGCAGGCCAAGGCAAATGAATGACATTGAAAGTGTTAGTAGCAACATATTGAAGTTATTAGATAAACTTACATATTTTCAATGGTTGCATTTTGTCTTTCAATTAGATGAAGGTTTTGCTTCTCCTGATGATGCTGACAGCATGTGCTGCAAGTCCTCAAGGTAAAAAAAAAAAATCTTACAAGTGGATACCAAAAGGACTGTAGAGCATTTGTAATATACGAATAGCAAACTGTATATACTTAAAACTGACATATACACGGACTGTTCTTGCCATACCTTGAACAAAAATGAGTTCTCTTGTTTAAGGTTTAAGTCCAGCTTGTTAGCTGGAGAAGTGTAATGTCTGAGTGTGAGGGATAAATTACTACTACTACTACTACTACTACTACAACTACAACTAATAAAAATAATAATGATAATAATAATAATAATAATAATAATAATAATAATAATAATAATAATCATGATAATGATAATAACATAGTGCTTTTCGGAGTCCTCAAAGACACTTCAATAGAGTAGGATAGTAGTTGTGGGTCTTGTTACCAAATAAAGTATTTAATGTGAACCCTGATTGTTTTAAGTCTTTCATCATAACTTAATGTGAGTATGTTTTTATTAAAGGACATACATTTGCATTACTCAACACAGTCAAAAATACTGATGTTCATTCCTTTTTCAACCAGCAGTTATATGCAGAAGAAAACAATCAACATAACTTTGTGCAAAAAACAAAGACAATAAGTAAACTATAAAAAGCTAAATGGGATATCAAAAAGGGTGTGTTAACAACACTCTCTCTCTCTCTCTCTTTGCATTGGACTTGTTATCCTCCTTAAGTCCCACGCCTGGATACAGACTGTCCAATCATAATGTACCATTAGACTGTGCTCCATCGACTCTAATGCAACCATTTCAGATTTCCTTCATTTTCAGGCTGGTTTTGTGGATTTGGAGCTAAATGTTGTGCCGCGGGCACGTCGTGTATTAATGATACTCGTTACCTGGAGAGTTTGGAAAAAGATATATGTTTCTTCCCTGTTGCAAAACCAAAATCGGACCCTGAAAAGTATAGGGTTAGTGTGTGGGCTCCATGCTTATTCTGACAGCTTGTAGAACCATCACAAAGGGGCGGAATGGCTCTATTCTGGGGCCTCTCTGCCTTTCCTCTGGCCTACACAGAAAGCCTCTTCCACATGGAAAGCCTAAGGCAGAGAGAGCACACCTCCCTGCCCTTCCATTTGCCTAAATGAGAAGTCTAAGGCAGGGAGAGCAGCAACAAAGACCCCCCAGTAACAGAACAGAGCCAGCATCAATGACAAACAGAAATTACACTGATAAGTCAGACACAGCGTGAAAAGGACTAACGCTATGCTAATTTTTTGTAATACATGGATACATTATCTCCACTAATATTTTATTTCTCTCTATTTTTAGATCTGTCGGGTAAAATGTTCACCTTTCCACAACAAACCAACACAGCTTGTGTGCAGCTGATGACAACAAGACAGCAGTTCAGTGCCATCACAGTCTGTCTCAGGTAGACTTCACTGGTTTAAATGAATTAAGGAACCCACTGTATCTCTCACTGTGAAAGGGCAGCATGCACAATCACTTCTTTCCAATACCTACAGGTTCATCACTGACCTCAGCAGAGACCACATTCTTTTCTCTCTGGCCACACCCTCTGCTGACAATGACTTCTTGATCTTCAGGCATGCTGTAGAGGATGCCGTCAATGTATTTAGTAGAAACAAATTAGCAGCATTTACAGCGCAGGACTACAAGTTGAACATGTGGCACTCCATTTGTTCCACATGGGACTCTGCGTCTGGTCTGGTGCAGCTGTGGCTTGATGGAAAACCTTCGATGAGGAAATTCGTCAGCTCTGGAACAAACATCAGAGGATCCACTATAATCATCTTAGGACAGGTACAGTTTTATTGCTAAGCGCTATTTAATCTCTTGAATTTCTAGATCTAAAACAATTATTGGGCACCATTCATGCTATTTATCTGCGATCACTACAGGAGCAGGATTCCCACGGTGGGGGGTTTGACTTGAAGCAGTCTTTCGTTGGCATGATATCTGATGTCAACATGTGGGACTACGTCCTCTCCTCCTGTGAGATTCAAAAGTACGTGGATGAACTCAACTTCACTCCAGGAAATGTCCTCAAGTGGAGTGCGCTGGAGTACCAGATCACCGACAGAGTGCTGTTAGAAGATAAACAAAAAACAATGTCCTGTTATTAAACCATTTAAACAGAACTATCATTGAGTGTCTTATCTTGCAAAGTCAAACATCTGGTTTTCTGTCATTTACAGGATATCATTTAATCATGCCAACATTTTGTCATAAAGTCCCCCTCCATTTAAAAATGTGTTTTTCTTACTTTTATGTTCCCTTAAATAAATGCTCTTGACTATACTGTCTTGTATCTATGCAATGTTTGTCACAAGATAGGTGTTTTCATATTTCTCTACTGAAGGGGGGCCATGTCTGTGCCCTCCCCTAAAACCTGAGATTCAAACATATGCTGACATAGCAAGATTAGGTACATGACGAATTGGGTGCTGCAGGGATGACGTTTATTTGTAGGCCAATATGGATGTTAACATTGGTTCCCTCAAAAAAAAAAACAATGGAAGTTTCCCACTGGATTTTGGGTGAAACTAGGCCCTGTGGCAAACAAGAGTTTATGATACACAAATACACCACAGTCGCATGACATCGCCACAATAATGAGGCCGTGACACCTTCTTTGGTGTGATAACATCTTGTCGTCTCATTTAGCCCCTTGTTAGTAACCGCCTTTTTTAAGACACGAACAAAACACACTCTTGAGCTTGCATTAACCACAGACCTTATTTAAGACATCTAACTTTCAAGTCAAGTTACTCAGTTACTCTGAATGAAGAAAGAATGGAACATCTGTGTTAGTCACGAGTGATCAACATTTAATCTATGTGCAGATTAATTGTTAAGTACAGATGAACAGCGCTTGCATGTGTAACAGGGATAGATGCATTCAAAACGCAAAAACAACACACAGATAGTACAGGAAGTATTTAAGAAAAAGGACTGACACCATTATTTCATTCAGATGTAGTAAAAACAAGACAGTGATTCAGATTTTGTAACATGTACACCTACTTCTCTTCAGCTTTATGTACTTCATAATGATGTCCATTTGTAATACATAACAATGGCTATTTCAACATGAGGAAGAGCTTTCAGTCTAAAAGTTTCAGCTTCAGCTTCAGTTTTGCTTATTCAGCGAAAAACACTTTGGGTGCAATAACGCTTTTTTACATGACATGAATCTGAGTCCAGAAAATATAGAAGTAGATAAAGGAAGGAAACACAGAGGAGCAGAGAGATTTAAGGAAGCAGTGAGTGTACAAATCTCACAGTCCAACCACTGATCACAACATCCAGACACAGATTTCAAGGTAAGACATGCAAAACTGTACAATATAGAAATATAAAATGCTTTTTTTTTTTTTTTTTTTTTACCTTTTCCAACCCGTATTGTTTATTGTTGCAGTCTGAGGTAACAAAGAGTACACAGAGTATCAGTAGCAGCTTAAAAATGTTGGATTCACTGGATCAGAAATGCAAACTGTTTCTCATGGTGTCTTTTTGTCTTTGTATTAGATGAAGTTTTTGCTGCTCTTGGTGATGCTGACAGCGTGTGATGCAAGTCCGCAAGGTAAAAAAAAAATATACAGTACAGGCCAAAAGTTTGGACACACCGTCTCATTCAATGCGTTTTCTTTATTTTCATGACTATTTACATTGTAGATTCTCACTGAAGGCATCAAAACTATGAATGAACACATGTGGAGTTATGTACTTAACAAAAAAAGGTGAAATAACTGAAAACATGTTTTATATTCTAGTTTCTTCAAAATAGCCACCCTTTGCTCTGATTACTGCTTTGCACACTCTTGGCATTCTCTCCATGAGCTTCAAGAGGTAGTCACCTGAAATGGTTTTCCAACAGTCTTGAAGGAGTTCCCAGAGGTGTTTAGCACTTGTTGGCCCCTTTGCCTTCACTCTGCGGTCCAGCTCACCCCAAACCATCTCGATTGGGTTCAGGTCCGGTGACTGTGGAGGCCAGGTCATCTGCCGCAGCACTCCATCACTCTCCTTCTTGGTCAAATAGCCCTTACACAGCCTGGAGGTGTGTTTGGGGTCATTGTCCTGTTGAAAAATAAATGATCGTCCAACTAAACACAAACCGGATGGGATGGCATGTCGCTGCAGGATGCTGTGGTAGCCATGCTGGTTCAGTGTGCCTTCAATTTTGAATAAATCCCCAACAGTGTCACCAGCAAAACACCCCCACACCATCACACCTCCTCCTCCATGCTTCACAGTGGGAACCAGGCATGTGGAATCCATCCGTTCACCTTTTCTGCGTCTCACAAAGACACGGCGGTTGGAACCAAAGATCTCAAATTTGGACTCATCAGACCAAAGCACAGATTTCCACTGGTCTAATGTCCATTCCTTGTGTTTCTTGGCCCAAACAAATCTCTTCTGCTTGTTGCCTCTCCTTAGCAGTGGTTTCCTAGCAGCTATTTGACCATGAAGGCCTGATTGGCGCAGTCTCCTCTTAACAGTTGTTCTAGAGATGGGTCTGCTGCTAGAACTCTGTGTGGCATTCATCTGGTCTCTGATCAGAGCTGCTGTTAACTTGCGATTTCTGAGGCTGGTGACTCGGATGAACTTATCCTCAGAAGCAGAGGTGACTCTTGGTCTTCCTTTCCTGGGTCGGTCCTCATGTGTGCCAGTTTCATTGTAGCGCTTGATGGTTTTTGCGACTCCACTTGGGGACACATTTAAAGTTTTTGCAATTTTCCGGACTGACTGACCTTCATTTCTTAAAGTAATGATGGCCACTGGTTTTTCTTTAGTTAGCTGATTGGTTCTTGCCATAATATGAATTTTAACAGTTGTCCAATAGGGCTGTCGGCTGTGTATTAACCTGACTTCTGCACAACACAACTGATGGTCCCAACCCCATTGATAAAGCAAGAAATTCCACTAATTAACCCTGATAAGGCACACCTGTGAAGTGGAAACCATTTCAGGTGACTACCTCTTGAAGCTCATGGAGAGAATGCCAAGAGTGTGCAAAGCAGTAATCAGAGCAAAGGGTGGCTATTTTGAAGAAACTAGAATATAAAACATGTTTTCAGTTATTTCACCTTTTTTTGTTAAGTACATAACTCCACATGTGTTCATTCATAGTTTTGATGCCTTCAGTGAGAATCTACAATGTAAATAGTCATGAAAATAAAGAAAACGCATTGAATGAGAAGGTGTGTCCAAACTTTTGGCCTGTACTGTATATTCAAAAAATCCTTCTTCAACTGAGAGAGTTTGTTGCCATTTACCTTTGAGTGTTGTTTTCGTCATGCAATTCTATTGAAAATAGGACAGACTAAATAGGGCAAAATATGTTAAATATCCTTACCTAAATGACCAGTGTTACACACGAGTAATTTTCATCAAACACGTTTCTACAGAATTACAAATCTATGATACTGACGGAAAACAAACAAACAAAAAAAGCAGTATGTTTTAATGTCAAACTTGGTTGCCTCTGTGATTTCATAACTTACTGAAACTGTGTAATTCGGGACATTTTCTTGACTTGACACAGCTAGAACGCTGGTGCTCATTCCTCTTTCAATCAGGAATTAACAACTTTATTTGTGAGGAATATAACCTTCAGGTGAACGTGTGCACAACAAATAGACACTGGACAAAGCAATAAGCAAAGCAAAAAGCTAAGTGGAGTAGGTAGGTGTAGAGATTTCGGGCGGGAAGCAGAAGGCAAGTCCCCCCTTATTATTTCAAACATGAAAGTAGCAGAGGACTTTTTTTTTTTTTTTGACAAAATTAAAGACGTTTATACCCTACATTCATGTAAAAAAAAAAAAAAGGCACAAATTGGTGCATAGAAACTGACTGAAAAGCAGGAAATTAAGTCTCTTGCGGAGGACCCCCAAACCCCTCTGTTTTATATATGAGCAAAATAACACTGAAATGCTCATGCCCTTGCTTACATGTGTAAAAATAAAGCTCAAGAGCCTGTTGTTCATATGGTGCTGTATGTTCCTAAATTCCTGTAGTGACTTTCAGTATATGATAAATTCATCATATGCCATGTGTTACCCAGTTTATAATAATAATGATAATAATGACAGAATTAATGATAATGTGTTAATCAACTTCACCACATTGTAATCTATTTTCCCCCCTCTCTCTTCTCAGATCTGTCAGGTAAAATGTTCACCTTCCCGCAACAAACCAACACAGCGCGTGTGCAAATTACTACACCAACAAATGAGTTCAATGCTGTAACTGTGTGTCACAGGTAACACTGAATTTTTCAAAATGCATTAAAACAACCCCCTGTATTGCTGACTGTGAAAATGATCATGCACGATATTGTCTTTGCAACGCTTACAGGTCCTTTACAGACCTCAAAAGAGACCACATCCTTTTCTCTCTGGCCACACCCACGAATTCCAATGCCTTCCTGATTTTCTGGGATGAAACAAACAAGGAGATCGAGCCCCACATCAAGGATAAAAAGTCAGAATATGGAGGGCAGGACTACAAGCCGAACATGTGGCACTCTGTTTGTACCACATGGGACTCTACGAGTGGACTGACACAGGTGTGGTTCGATGGACAACCAACGATTAGGAAATTCGTCAGCTCTGGAACAAGCATCAGAGGATCCACTATAATCATCTTAGGACAGGTACAGTTTTATCAATACACACCATAGCTAAAGACAAGTATCGTGCAGTTTACCTTTTATTTACTGTATCTCAAACCTTTTGAGTTTTTCCTTATCCGCTGCGAGGGTCATAAGGACAGAGGGATGTCGTATGCTGTAAAGCCCTGTGAGGCAAATTGTGATATTGGGCTTTATAAATAAAATTGATTGATTGATTGATTGATTGAAACCTCTGCAATCAACAGGAGCAGGATTCCCACGGTGGGGGGTTTGACTTGAAGCAGTCTTTCGTTGGTATGATGTCTGACGTCCACATGTGGGACTACGTCCTCTCCTCCTGTGAGATTCAGAAGTACATGGATGAACTCAACTTCACTCCAGGGAATGTCGTCAACTGGAGTGCGCTGGAGTACCAGATCACCGACAGGGTGCTGGTAGAAAATAAACAAACGACCTGTTACTAAACTTGAAAACAAAACTATCACCGTCTTATCGCTGTCTTGTGAAACTGAAATCTGGTTTTCTGTAATAAAAAGGCTATCATTTAATCATGCCAACATCTTGTCATAAATCATTTCTCATGAACAAAACAAGTGGTACTTAACAAAATCCCTCTCTCCTCTGTTTTACATATGAGCATGTAAAAGATGTTAAAGAGCTGAAAATCAACTGGTTCTCCGTTTATAGGGTGTGTTCAGTGCAGTGACGTCATTGTCAAGTGTGGTTACACATGCATGCAATATAGCATACAGTTTTACACTGAAACAAGAGTCCAAATAAACGCAGTCCACCCACCTTGGTGCAATGAACAAAAACACCAACAACATGTGCAACTACACAGAGCAGACTACCACCTAGTGAGAACTGCATTGTTACTGCATATGTCCCATACTACACAAATAATAATCTGAGAGAGCATGACAGGCTCTTGATGTTGTTGTGGTGTCAAGTTGTTTTATCTAAACTGAATGAAGAAAGCGTGGAACATCTTTAACAGTTGGTATGTGTTAGTCACAAGTGATCAACCTTTAATCTATGTTGCAGATCAACTGCTGTGTACAGATTACAGCTCATGCACAAAAACAACACGCAAATAGTGAAGGAACTATTTAAGAAAATACTGTCCCGAGGATTGACACAGTTATTTTATTCCTGAAAACAAGACAAAAGTGCGAAAAACTGTGAGTATTTCATAACAATGTTCATTTGTAATACAGAACAATGACTCATTCAACACGAGGCGGGGCTTTTAGTCTAAATTTTGTTGATTCAGTGAAAAACACATTGTGTGTGATAACGTCTTTTTTTGTTAACAACGGTTCTGATGCCAGAAAATACTGAAGTAGATAAGGGAAGGAAACACAGACATGCAGAGGGAAATAGGGAAGCAGTGAGTCTACAAATCTCACAGCATATTTGTCTCTGATCACAGCATCCAGAAACAGATCTCAAGGTAAGACATGCAAAGCTGCAAAATGTAGGATTTTAAAAATGACTGTATTATGATATCAATGTTTTTTTATTTTTAGTGTTATTTTACCATTTCCATTTCCATGTTTACTGTGACAGTCCAAGGTAAATAAGAATAAATTAATTTGTAGTTTTTGGCAGACAGAGTATTAGTAGCAGCTCAAAGTGTTGGATTCACTGGCTCAGAAACACAAAAAGCGCTTTTCATTTTTGTGTCCTTGTATTAGATGAAGTTTTTGCTGCTGTTGGTGATGCTGACAGCGTGTGATGCAAGTCCACAAGGTAAAAAAAAAATATATATATATATATATATTTATATCCTTATCTAACTAAGAGAGTTTGGAGCAGTCTGCTGCCATTTATCTTTAGCTTTTCCTACACACAGGTCATGCAATACTCTTCAAGGCACAAGACAAATCTTTTCCTTATTCATGAAACAAACATGAGGTTTTGCAGTAGCCTATATTAATGCCAGACTTTCAAACTGGGCAAAATATATCAAATATCTTTACCTAAATTGCCAGTGCTGTCTCTTGGCATATGCAGTACCCATTGTATTAGTCATAGTAATAATATTCTTTTCCATTTTCACATACTTTTTGCATGCATAAGCAAATTATGCATTAGCTAATATGTTTCTAAATGACAAGGATTAACAAATGTAATGCCAACAAAAAAGTAAACAGCAGAGTGTTATGTTTCAATATCAACCTCGGACGTTTTTATGATTTCATATTTCATAACTGATTGTGCATTTGTTTAATTCCGGACACTGGTGCTCATTACGCTTTGAATATGGAACTAATCACCATTTGCAGAGGGAAATGACCTACATTTGAATTTGTGCACAATTAATAGATTCTGGACAAAACAATAAGCAAACCAAAAAATGCTTTGTGTCTCTCTTTGTATAAGATTTGTGGCTGACATATGAGCAATTATTTCCTCCCTCAAAGTTAGTCAGGTTTTAGCTTCACCGTATGGTTATGTTCATTGTAATCTATACTAAAAAACAAAACTCCCTCTCACTTCTCAGATCTGTCGGGTAAAATGTTTACCTTCCCACAACAAACCAAAACCGCTCGGGTAAGGCTAACAGCATCAAGACGGGATTTCACTACTTTAACCGTGTGTCACAGGTAACACTTAATGTGCAAAGTGCATAAAACAACCCACTGCATCTGACTGTGAAACACATCATGCATGATTATAACTTTGCAACACTTACAGGTCCTTTACAGACCTCAAAAGAGACCACACTTTCTTCTCTATGTCCACACCCGCGAATTCCAATGCCTTCCTGATGATCTGGGATGACGCAAACAAGGAGATGGAGCCTCATATCTGTGATAAAAAGGCAGAATATGGAGGGCAGGACTACAAGCCGAACATGTGGCACTCCATTTGTACCACATGGGACTCTGCGTCTGGTCTGGTGCAGCTGTGGCTTGATGGAAAACCTTCGATGAGGAAATTTGTCAACTCTGGAACAAGCATCAGAGGATCCACTATAATCATCTTAGGACAGGTACAGTTGGATTAATACGCACCACAGTTAAAGATCTTTAAACAAATCCTGTATATCCTAATGTTGTCTCTGGTGTACAAATTTTATTACAAGTATCGTGCAGTTTACCTTTTATTTACTGTATCTCAAACCTCTGCAATCTACAGGAGCAGGATTCCCATGGTGGGGGATTTGACATGATGCAGTCTTTCGTTGGCATGATGTCTGACGTCCACATGTGGGACTACGTCCTCTCCTCCTGTGAGATCCAGAAGTACATGGATGAACTCAACTTCACTCCAGGGAATGTCCTCAACTGGAGTGCGCTGGAGTACGAGATCATCGACAGAGTGCTGTTAGAAGATAAGCGAAAACTAATGACCTGTTAGCTTATGACGAAACCATCTATATTTTAGAGAGTAATCGACATCTAAAGTATAACTAAAGTTCAATGAATATTTGTGAACATGAGCTACTTTCTCTCAAAGCCAGAAACCAAAGAAGTAAGACATGTAATGTCATGGTATAAAGTCTGGGGCTGCTCCACAGACAATGAATGGGAGACTGATTGGACCCATAGAATGAGCTTAGTTCTACTGTATTGTTCTCAGTTCTGAAACAGAAGATGTACCTTTATACTCACCTAGAATATCCACAACAGCTCCCCCAAATTATTATATATGGAGCAGATCTAGATTTTATACCCTATGACATCGCAAATTTGAGTTTTAGCTCTCTAGTTTTTTGATTTTGGAGTGAGTTGTTCATCTTTGCTAATATTTTTGGACTGTCTTCGACCAACGTACCCTCATAAAATGGTTCCTATGATGTCCTATGATGATCTTTAACGTACAGTTATATAATAACTCAAAGTTACAGAGGTTAGGTTAAGGCAAGTAAAGTTACTGTGGTTAGGTTAAGAATACTGAATGTAGCTGGTGCTGACAAGAGCATTGTTTACATGTTGCCATGACAACACCGGAAGTCATATGTGAGATCCCTTTATAATAGTTGAGTGGTTTTCTTGTGCTGTTCTGGGGGACTTTGTTTGCTGTCGAGCTGGAGTTATTATTGTGTTGTCTTTGTTAAATTCATGATAATAAATATGTTTTCTTTGTAAATCACATGACCATGACCCGGAGGTTAATGCAGAGAGAAAAGACGGGCGGAAACTGAAGGTGACTGAAATGCCAAGTGTAAACAGTGGACTTTTATGCTCCCTTCTATGATCCTACAGCTGGTCTCCCAGGAGAACACTTTTTCATGGTGTTCCATGATACTTCTATGAGCAATTAATGTAAACATGGACATCAGTATGAAGCGTGGACTCTTTCATGACCAGTGTAGATACAATGAAACATGTTGAGGACATACCTGAAAATGTTGCAAAGTTCACTTAAAGTCCCCAGGCTTCCAAATATGCGTCTCTTTACAACACCACTCAGGACTGCTTCCTTGTTTACTCCTGTCATCACAATGTTCTCGTGATCACAGCCTTTCAAAATACAAGGGATATGTATGAATTTGGGTGCATTACTTTTCGTAGGAAATCATACAAACAGTTAATAAGAGCAGCTTGCTTAGACTATGAGAATAGTGTGAATGAATTTTGAAAATTCCACTGAAAGTTTCACTTTTCTAAGATGGAAACAGGAACTGCGAGAGTCCAATGGATTTAGGGACCACAATGTGACATTCAGCAGTGTTTTACAACATGCAGTTTTTAAGTAAATGTCAGTCTACAGTCTGTGTATGCATCGATTATGCTCACTAACATTATTTCTGATATATATTCATTTCCCTATAGCTTGGAATAAAAAGTGCATCAAATCACATTATTGTGATAATCAGACACAGAATCATCCCTCTACATCTAAGCCTGTGGATCTGACAGCTTGATTTTTTTTAAGGTCATGCCCCCTACTGGACAAACTTTGATGAATGCACCTTTAATTGAGATTTGATCTTTCTATGAATTGCACTGATCTTGGCACCTGTCTGCATTTTTCTGACACTGAAATAAACAATGTCTTGATTCAATGGGACAGCAATACTTTGTAGTTACTTGTCTATATGTGAATGGGCCTGTGCTTAAAGTATTGGCAGAGAGCTAAAGTTTCTCTGTGTTTCATCACTTCTCAGAGTTCTTTGATAGTAAATCACACACACACACTCCCACATGGACTTTTGTTCATGCAATTCATTCCGTTCAGACAAATGCTGGCAGTCTCTTAATGGGTAAAACTATGAGTCTGTCCCATGGATCCACATTCATCATGAAAAGAACTACACTGGTACAGTAATTAACATTTTTGGGCACACATATATAACCTACATTTTGTCCCCAGAAAGGCTACCAGCTCATGAACCTCCAACAGTTCACACTTGTCGCTTGTTGGAAGGATGAATCTCATGAGAAGAAACCGACCCGCAGAGAATCTGAGCCTTTCTGCATATCTTCAAATCTTTAGCAAAAGTGAATAGAGCATCAAGCACCTCCACAATAAATATGGCTGCACTATAGCAGTTGTAGCATGACTCACTATAAACACCTCTTTTTTGATATTCTTGCTAAATCAATTAAGCATTGTGTGCTGTGTGAAAACTCATAAGAAGCTCTTGTGTTAAGCAGGTTCCTGATGAAATGTAGGGCAACATTAGTTTGCAATTAACTATAGTTAATTCCTCTTCAGCTTGAGTGTTGTATCTCTACAGGCATTGTCAGTGGCTTTTAGCTTATTGCAAAAAAAATTATTTCCCTTAACAAGTCTGAAGTGAGCTGTAAAACTTTGTCAGTAAATTAACCATCCAAATGAATTAAAACTGACACATAAAGTATCATATATTTTACATTTTATTCAAAAAATCATCCACAGTAACAATATCTAAAATAAATAAGTATGAAAGAGCCTCTACATTTCACAGCCCAATCCTGAGTGTGTTTTTACCCACATTTTATCTGTTCACATATGTGCTTGGACGCACTATAGCTGGTGCAAGGAAACACCAAATCTGGGTCTTACATTACCCAAAGTGAAACAAGACAAAGCGCCTTATTTAAACAATATATAACCATATATAGCCCTTATTGGTCTAAAGTGTATTGAGGGCATGTCCAACTTCACTCTACTTGTTAAATATGGCATAATCTGGGTGCAATGGGGTTGTATTTAGTCCCTTAATCATAAGTTTGTTTTGGCCTTATCATGAATTCAACCAATGAGAGTGTTGTCTCCCTGTCCCTTTAAAAAACAGGTGTGCCTGCACCTGGTTTGCTGCTATTTACATGGCATATTCTGCAAATTAGAGGACCGTACAGTTTTCTGCTGTAAGTCAGTCACTGATGTAATGAAGCTCAGCGTAAGTTCTTAAGTTCAATCAGGAAGACTTTGTTTGTGCTCATCCATTCACAGTTCTCTCCCTCCCACTCCTTCCTCTAGTCAGCTGATTATGGGTGTTCACTCCTCTAGTTATCAAATTCTCTCCCTCCCACTCCCACCACTTCCTATAATCAGCAGACCATGGGTGTTCACTCTACAAGTAATCCAATCGAACTTCACCAAGATCAGCCAATCAGGATGCTACTGCAAAATTGTAAATCTGCTTTCTCCTCTGCTGCTGTGAGCCATCATTTGCGCCCTCCTCCACCCCGTTCACCTCCAGCCATCGTATCCAGATTACAGGACGAGCTCAACAAAGGCTCATTCCTCTACCCATCCAGATCATTAGCACTTCTCCACTTCTTCATCTCATCTCATCTTCACCACCTGTACCACCACCAGTGTCTAGACCCCGGGGAGGTTCCCTCTTTGACTATGGATTCATCACCCTCCTTAAATCATACCGTCTCGATGGGGTCCAATCGCCAAAGACTTTTCACATTTTTCATTCTTATGTGCACATTAAAAATATTCTTTTTACTACAAAACATGTATCCCCCCGGGGATACGTGTTGTGCAAGTGTGGCTGAGAGTGCGGCCGGGAGTGAGGATTTCAGCACCACGGACAGCGCGCGTAAAAAGACTTGACAACCGTCTCCTTTTAAATGTGTTTGCTGCTAGCAAAATTATACATAATAAATGAAGACAGTGACATATTTTCAATAAAAAACGTTCATTCATGAGTTGAACGTTCATTTCAAGCTTTTGTAGTACAGTGAATTTCAGAATTGTGCGAGTGCGGCCGGAGAGCGGGCGGCAGTGTTTGATGTAGGAAACTCGATATGGACTTGAAAATCAGTTTCGGAGTGGGGGGGGTTTCGGAACGGCGGTGTTGCAGAATGGAGGGCTGTCCCCGGCTGGGCAGCGCGTCTGCACTCATCTAGTGCATCATACCTTGATGAAGTGAAAGGAATAAAAATAAAGATAAAATGATAACCCTCTTACTTTTATTATTATTATCTTATTATGCCAACTGAAGAATTAAATTTGTTTATTTGGGTGTTTTAGCTCTTTTCTCTGGAGCGGAAACTGACGCAAATGAGCTCATTAATCAATGAGGGGGAAAACATGAAAACTATGAAAATTCTTAGTCGGGGACACCCCTAGGTTTCAGTGAGTCTTATTTTTTTCTATTGAGTGTAAATGAAGTGTCTGAACATATCCTCAGTCACTGGTTAAGTGTGCCTGGTTGGAAAATCACTGGAGACCTTCTCCAGGTCAGTGGGGCTGAGAAGGCAGATGACCATTGAGTGTGCTTATTTGTCACCTAATGCTGTGTTTTGGCCAACAAAGTCATAGTGTTTGGCTGTGGTGGTGATACGCAGCCTCCAGGCACTAGTGAAATAAATAAATAACAACAACAATAAACAATTTTGAAAAAAATGGACACGTTCCTTTAATTTCGTGTCCTCTTATTTCTTACTCTACCTGTTTTACTCCCATAATCCCCTCGCAGCAGGCCCTGTATATCTCACGTGTCGCAGGGGGAATTTCTCGGTTAGTTCTCTCTGCTTGACAACATATTACCAAAAGGATAAGTCTCATGGCCTCTGTTGCAGTGTCATCCTACCTCCATCTGCCTGCTGCGTTGTCATTTATCATATGTGCAGTAATACAGAAGCAGCCTTTGGCACTTCTTGGGCTCCCTCCACAATGGTTGATTAACATACAAACTAAGAATAGGCGATGATGTAAACAATAATTAAAGAAATCCTAACATTATTGCAAAAAAAAGGAAATAAAAAATAAAATAAAATAAAATAAATAAAAAGGGAATACTACATAACATGTACACAAACAGGAAGGTAGTAAATGCATGCACTACCATTGATATATTTAAAAAGGCATTAACGGCACATAAATACAATAACAAAAAGGCAAAGTCAGAATATTTCAGTCAGTGTCAAGCAATAAACTCAAGAATTCGACATTCCATGACCTGCAGATGAAGCTGTCCTTAGTTGTATGGGACCAGATGCAGGCACATCATGGTCACGACAGCTGGGGCTCGATCATCCTGCTTGCTCTATTCTACACCACTGATTGAAGAGGTCCTTGCAATGGCAGCTCAATCCTGACGGTGCGCTGGGCCATTTTCTCAACCCATCTGCTGTTTTACAGTTGCCATGTTTTCTCATTGACTGCTGTTCAGTGTTAATGACACACCACTTGGTTCTGGTAATCACGGTCCCCAGTTGTAATCACTTTAATGTATTTTGAGCTATCTTTCACTATTATATCCATCACAGATTCACGATTCTACGTTGTCATCCATGACTCAGTGCTCAGAATGTGCCTCAGTCCCTGTTGTGTAGAGTAGTCCGTCGCGCAGCCTCCTCTTAAATCAAGTTTCTGGTCCCTTATTTCTTGCTAAGTCATTCATATAGTTGGCAGTGGACTTTTGTGGTCTTCTCATCTGCTACCTCTCAAGTCTTGGTCATTGTTTGTCCTATTGCCCACCTTCATATTTGATGGAGTCACAGTCATGCATCAGCCATTTGCCATTTCTCTTTGGTTGCCACATCGCTATTTGTACTATATATGTTTGCTTTTCAGACCTCTTTTCCTTGCACTCGTTAATATGATTCCAATTCTGTCTACCTCGATTCAGTTTGACTTGCTGTCATTTGTCGCATGTTCCCACAACACCCATGGTCTACGTGATCTCATGCCATATGCACAGTCATCCATGGTCCTCTAACTACATGCTGCATGCACTAACACCGGCTTGTCTGCTAATTGCTCACCTTTATCACTTTAAAATCCACAATCATGCATCACCCATGATTATGTCCTCTTGGTTATCTTATCAAAATTTCTGTCTTGCTGATTTATTATCTGCTGGTCTTGGGACCTATTCTCCTCTCTCTTGTTTATTAACGTTCATAAATAAATATAATTCTATTGGTTCAATTCTTTTTTACCTTGCTTGCATTTATCATGCTTCTCACTCATTTACATGGTCCTCACGCAAATGCACACTCACGGTATGCAGGACCTCATGCTGTATGCACAAACACCCATGGTCTTCGGGACCTCATGCAAATGCTCCATCATGGTCTGTGGGACCTCATGCTGTATACACCAACACCCAAGGTCTTCGGGACCGCCCTCTGAATGCTCATACGTGGTCCGCGGGACCCCATGCAACACTTTTTGTTGGTTGTGTGACCATTATTTCTGTTTGTCATGTGGACTTAATTTCTGTTTGGTCATCGGACCATTTTAAATAAGATGATCTTCTGACCTTAGTTTCTGTTCGGTCTATGACCTTTTACTTTTGTTGGTCTTTTCTGACCTTTTGTTTTGTTCTACACATGGTCTTTAGGACCCCAGTCTGTGCACCCAAGGTTTAGAGGACCTTATGCTTATACACAGTAATTTATTTTCGGTCATCGAACCAGCATTTCTGTTTGTAAGTGATAACTTAAATTTCTGTTTGGTTGCCAGACCTTATTTTACTAGTTGGTCTTATGACCTTAGTGTTTGTTCAGTCTTATGACTTTTTATTTATGTTTGGTCCTCGCTGAGCTTTTATTATGTTCTACATATAGGCCCAGGTCACTAGGATCTTGCACCAGTCACGGTAATTTCAGTTTGGTCTTCAGACCCTTAATTTCTCTTGCTGTCATGCTGAAAATTGCTGACTTAATTTACGCTTGGTCGCTGGACCTTTGTCTTCCTTTTGCATTTTATTTAAGTTGGTCTTCTGACCTTAATTTCTGTTTAATCTAACGACCTTTTATTTTGGTTGGTCCTTGTTGACCTTTTATTATGTTTAACATATAGACACCCCTGGTCACTAGGACCTAGCACCAGTCTTGGTATTTTCAGTTTGGTCATCAGACCCTTAATTTCTGTTGCTGTCATGCTGTAATTTATGTTTGGTCTCCGGACCTTAATGTTTTGTTTTTTTAACATTTTATTGCAGTTGGTCTTATGACCTTTTATCTCACTTGGTCCCTGTTGAACTTTTATTATGTTCAACATATAGACACCCACGGTATGCAGACCCATGCATTTTTAAGCCTTCCTTTCTGGCATATCACCATTATTTCTGTTGTCACAGCTTACTTCATCTGTGGCTTTTATATTATTTTCCTTTTCAACACTTATTTCTCATCTATCATCATCTACTAGTTAGTGGCTCCCTAGCTGTCAGTCCAGACATATTCCTACCACACATTTCTCATCAGAGTTGTACTATGTCATTCAGGACTTTTTCTGTGTTCATCCTTTCACATTTCTCTCCATCCCACTCCCAATGCTTCCTCTAATCAGCTGATTATGGGTGGTCACTCTTGTAGTTATCAAATTCTCTCCATCCCACTTCCACTGCTTCCTCTAATCAGCAGACTATATCCAATCAAACTTTTCCACAATCTCTCTCAGCCAATCAGGATGCCACTGCAAAACTTTAAATCTGCTCTCTTTTCTGCTGCTGTCAGCCATCATTTTAGGCAGAATCTTCAAGCCCTCCTCCACCCCGATCAGCTTCAGCCACTGTATCCAGAGTCCAGGACAAGCTCTACAAAGGCTCATTCCTCTACTCATCAGCACTAATCCATCTTCCTCTCATCTCATCTCTTCACCACCTCTACCACCACATCTAGACTCTGGGGAGGTTCCCTATTTGTCTATAGATTCATCAACCACCAAGTCTATTGCACACTGGTAGAGAAGATTTTACAGTATTATTATCCTTGCATTAACCCTCACCATTTTGTATTGTGTGTATTTGTCTTTGTATTAGATGGCATTGTTGCTCCTACTGGTGATGCTGACAGCATGTGCTGCTCTTCCTCAAGGTAAAAAAAAAACCTTTTAATTTCACATTGTGAAAAGCAAAATGAAGGAAAATGAATGATCACAAGACAGATAACATGCAAATGTATCTGTCTAACAGGACACTGATATCTTTTGATTTTTGTTACCTCTGTGTGAACTCTTTTGAATATTTTAAGGTTTTTTTTACTGTCATAGGATGAAACAAACATGACCTTTATATTAATAACAACAACTAGTCCATAACCATTGAGTGCACAGTTGTCCATGTACAGTTTCACAAGGTGTGTGTTTGGGATACAGCTCATAGGAAATTGCAGATTAAATAGTCAACTGAACCCATTAAGAAGAGCAATGTATTCAGACAGAGTTTTTGTGAATTTGATAGTATGATTGCTTTATTGAAAGTACAGTAGTACCATTGCCAATAGTGGGATAGTTAGTGGGCTAAAACTGTACATTAGTAGTTGAGGTAGCACGTTGAAAGGCAGATAGTTAAAGTGTTCATATGTTGTATTGACTTAAAAGTGGGACGCACTGGTAGTTCACATGGGAAAGGTGCGGCTAGCCCTTGTTGCAGCAGCATGCCATACCATGACTGAAAATTAGAAAAAAACAACAACATTCGGCCACAGGGGGAGCCACCGTGATCGGTCACATTTTAGCCATTTTTAAGCATTTTTCCGTTGATATAGCGCCACCCAGTTGCCAATTAGAGTTACATTTCTCCAGTCACCTTGAGGTGTCCTGTTCTACGTATCTACCAAGTTTAATAAAAATCGATATGGCGGTTTGGCCTAGATAAGAAATTAGCTCTCTAGCACCCCCATTTTGTTTGATGGGGTCAATAATGGAGGGGTCCCCTCAGATTATGTGTGGTCATATGCCTACAAAGTTGCGTGGTGATCGGTGAAACCCTTGAGCTCTTATACACCTTTATGTGATGAGCCACGTCCTCCGCAATATTCATTGCCTTATAGAAGCTCAGTTTTAGTAAGTTTTCCAACTTTTCCTAAGAGGGAACTTTAGATATTGGTCCCTAGATTATGTTCACTGAGTTTCATGCAGATCGGTCAAACTTCCTAGGAAGAGATCGATTTTAAGTGTTTTTCAAAAAATTCAAAATGGTGGAAAATCTCTATAACCGGAAGTTATGGGTTCTTGAGGCAAATGTGTTCCTCGTGAGGAGAGGCATCTCTGTGCAAAGTTTCATGTCTCTATGACATACAGAGCATGAGATATGCCCATTCAAAGTTTGCAGTTTCAATCGGTTGCTATATTCACATCCTCCCATGACCCTCTACCACTGTGCCAAATTTCACATGGATTGACCAAGTCAGTGAGGAGAAAAACGTGGAACAGACACACAGACAGACACCCACAGACAGAGTTTTCGTCATTATATAGTAAGATGTCAAATATATAGCCCAAGTGAATTACCAATTTTGTCCATAGACATATTCATTTAAAGATTACAATACAGAACAAAAGCATAATCTTGAATATGTATGGAGACAATTACTTGGTCAGTTTGCAGTCAGAATAAATAAACAAGTCCAAGGTACAGTAGGGCGAGGGGAGACAAACTTGCCAACTTTGAAGAGATCTTGAAACGCCACTTTGTGCTGAAAACATTTTCAGCTCATCTACATGTGCAGCCAAAATCAGATCTTATGCCAACATGAGCACTTCATGTTATTTTCACTCTACAAATACTTGTGTACCTAGTATTGCCATTTTATGGTGTGATTTTATTCTTTATATTTGTAGTGCGTGCATTCCCTCTTTTAGCCAGATATGCCATTATCTGCTCCTCACACTACGATTACAGGTTTGGCTAAAATAACTGATATTACAAATAGCCTAGTAGTATAGTAGCCTAATAGTTTTACTTATGCAGAAAAGCAGTGGCAGGGCACTGGGGAATGTTTCTTCCCAATGCTTTAGATTAAGTGCTCACAGTGCTTTTTTCAGTGATGGGCTACACGTGGGTATGTTTCTATAACAGCAATATCTTGACATGAATGCTAGCTGGTTAATGTAACACTATGTTAAGTGAGGGCTGACTATACAATTAACAAGCTTATAACGCGTACGGTGATGAAAGCACAACCCTCACCAGCAACATTCAGTGTCCAGTTGATACACTCCCGCAAATGGGCTTTTACGTCTTTGTGGTGATAGTTTGACTGATATCATACAGCTCAGGATAGACAGTAGCACCTTTGACACTGATTGGACAACATCCTCTTTTTTTTTGCTTTTCGGCATACTCAACACTCATTGGTGTATTGCTGTTGGCTCTAGCTGTTAGGCTTAAGTACTGTACACCTGGTCAAACTCACATGACGTCATCAGCTTTTTGTGTCCTTTAGAGAGACAAATCATTTCAGCATTGAAATGAAAGTGACTGAACCCAAATGCAGCACACTGAGACAGGCAGACAGTTGGTAATGACCTTTATTGCTCACACAAATAGGCAACAGCTCTGGGGTCTTTGGGTTTAGCTTGCTTGTAGTTTCAGCGGCGAGTGAGTGAGCCGAGAGCAGGCACTTGAGCAGTCTGAGAGTTGGGGACTGTACCGTGAGTGCAGGTGGGTTTCTCTTGAGGCTGGTAGTGGAGTGAAGACTGAAGTAACTTGCCGAACAAGGAGAGCTGAGGTAAGCAGGATTGGTGTAACACCGTGCAGCCACAGAGCTGAGCAGACGAGAACCAGGAAGGGAGCAGGCAGGACTCAGAGTCGGAGACAGAAGGCTGGGGTGATTACCAGGACAACAAGCACAAGCAGGGTCAGTACTGGGAAATCAAGCCAAGAGTGACTGCTGGAATGTCTTGCATGAAGTTGAGGAGCAATCTGGCAAAGAGTGTGTGTGCTGGAGAGGCTTAAATACCAGGCAGATAGGCTGATGAGCCGCAGCTGTGGAGGCAGGTGAGAGGGGTTGTCTTGATGAGGGGGGGCGTGGCTGGCTAGCAGGGTGCAGGTGAATGGAAATTTACCAGGAGCAGGTGAGGGAGAGAAGCAGACTGTGACATGCATAATGTATACCAGAATGCATACCTGCTACACAAATTGCGTACAGGTCACAAGGAACGTGATAAGGGCAGACAGCAGCTGAGGGCAGGTAGTGCAGAGGGCAAAGTTCATCTTTGCTGTGCTTGTGTTGTGGTTCTCCGGATGGCAGCATATACTGTCATACAAGTTTCAGACCTGCTACCACAATTCATCTAGTGATTTTATTAGTTTATTACCGGAAGCCTTTATAATTTGCTTTTCACATTCTGATTTTGAATTTCTCTCTTTTTTATAGATCTGTCAGGTAGAATGTTTACCTTCCCACAACAAACCAACTCAGCTCAGGTGAGGCTGGTATTATCAGGACTGGATCTGAGTGCTTTAACAGTCTGTCTCAGGTAGTATTGGACATGTAAAACTAATAAAACAACCCATTGTATCTCTGAGGGTAAAAATCATCATGTATGATAATGTCTTTTTAAATGCCTACAGGTATTTTACAGACCTCGGTAGAGATTACAGTCTTTTCTCTTTGGCCACACCCTCTGCTGACAATGCACTTCTGATTTACAAGGAGGCTGCAAGCGATAGGATTAATCTCGCGATCAGGAATAGTGGTGCAGTCTTCAGAGGGCAGGACTACAGACTGAACACATGGCACTCAGTTTGTGCCACATGGGATTCGGCATCTGGTGTAGGGCAGATGTGGCTAGATGGAAAGCCCTCAAGTAGGAAATTCATCAGCTCTGGATCTGACATCAGCGGGCCCATCATAATTGTTTTAGGACAGGTACAGTTTTTAATCAGTGTTATTAAAATTGCTGTATGTCATTCTGAAGAGAGATAGTTAATTATTCAGTCTTATTGCCAAGTTGTCTGATACACAGGCTTTGGTTTGGTAGTCAGACCAAGCAACCAACCCAAAGTGCTAATGTCTGACATATCAGCAATCAACTATCTTTCTCCAGAGTTACATACAGCTCCTTTACTGGAATGGGTTGACATTATGGGAAATATATTAATTATCTTTTTCATTATTACTATGTGTTCAAAGAATACACCAGAAAAAAAAAAACAGTATTATATAAAAGAGATGTCTCTCTTATCTCAAGGTCTGCAAATTCACAGGAGCAGGATTCTCATGGCGGAGGCTTTGACATTAATCAGTCTTTTGTTGGCATGCTGTCTGACATCCACATGTGGGACCACACCCTTTTGCCATGCCAGATCCAGAATTACGAGGATTATCTGACCTTCACCGCGGGAAATTTGCTCAACTGGAGGACACTGGAGTTCCTGACTAAAGGAAGAGTGCTGATAGAAGATAAACACGAGCCCTACTGTTAAACTTTTCAGGTTAAACAAAAAAGAAATCCTCTTAACTCCAAAGATTGTCTATCATGTTTTAAAAATCTGTTGTTAATATTATTATCTTTTGCTATATTTGTTCATCATATTATTGCAAAGAATGACTTTTTCTTTTTCTTTAATGTACTTACTGTGCAATCATAAATCCAGTCGAAGCTAACTTTCCAAAGTGAATTTGTGATTGTGAAATTAAAACCAACCGAAAACCGATGAAAACAAAGTTCAAATTGTATTGCATCAGTATGTGCTATTTTTCCAAAGAATATTATTTGTATAGATATTACACATTGTGTGTGCTCCTCAGTAGTAGCTTGTGAGTACTGTATATGTCTCCTCTTCTGATCGCTCCACATTCTGTATTCTTCATTTCAGTTGTCTCCCAATGGTCTCAGTTGTGTTGTATTTAAAGCAAGATCAAACAAGTTTTGAAGTAAAGTTGTATTGTGTTTAATAACGTCTGTAGCTCAGTAATGAAATGTAACAAAGGATACTATAAATAAAAAAGTGAATATCATGTAAACACTCTAATTTTGTATTGTGACGAAGCTGCTCAAAGCCTAATTTTGTATGGTTAGTGTACCCAGTAAGAGTATAACCCTTTTAAGAGTCCTTAGTTAATATTTTACATTTCCAAATTACCAGAATCTGAAGCCATATATTGCATGCAAGGAAGGAGACAAGAAGAAAACACACTGCTGTGAATCATTGACAAGTACCAGATAATCACATGTAACTACTACATATAAGTACTTGGGTTTTGAGCTTCAGCAGTTCGGGCAATGCATCCTTGTACATGTAGGCACTGAAATGACGGCTGTGCAAGACAGAAACTGCTGTCAATGCAGCATGCACTGAGGAATTTATTGCCACAGCTGACTGCATTTACCATCAACACTGTTGGGATATCTACTTAAGATGTGCCAAACTTCTCATTTAATGTTTACCATGTTCACTATCTTTTGTCCTTGAGTATATAATAAATAACCACAAAAATAATACACACTATGTTGATGGTTATCTTGAGGATGTGAAACGATGAATAAATGCAATAAAAAGATAAACGCAGACGTACACGTGAGCGGTCTGTCCTTGTTGTTTGATGAAGTGAGATAAGGCTGTGCTGTCAGAGGAGTTCAGGTAATCTTGTCCGGACTGTCTGTGCCAAATTTCGTGGCAATCTATCCATGTCATTTCACTCAAAACCACTAATATGAACCTGCTTGTGGCACTACAGTAGGCATAGAGTCAAGGGGTCATGGGACCCACAAATACTGACTGACCAACAGAATTTGCCATTTATACAGGAACGCCAATACCATGGTTAAAAAACACCTGCTTCCATTATTAAATGTAATTGTGTTGTTTACGGTTCTGACTTATCTTGTTTGTTTTTCATTTTGCATTGTGACTAAGCAGCTCAAAGTCTATTTTGATAAGTTTTATAAGCCTAATAAGACACTTTTAGGAGCCCTTAGTTAATATTCCACATTTCCAAATTACTGGAATCTGAAGCCATATATTGTACAAGGAAGGAGACAAGAGAAAAACACAGAGCTGATAACTGAAATGAGGAAGCAGCAAAAGTATAAAACTCGCACTCCCATACACTGTTGCACACAACATTCTGACACAGGACTCAAGGTAAGATCAACACATGACTGGAAAATAGAGGAATTTAACATGACTGCACTATATACAAACATGTTCCCCTCTTCTACCTGTACTCTATATTGTAGCAGACCAATTAAAGAAACAGAAAACTTCTTGCAGTCTATTACACACTGGTAGAGAAGGTTTTACAGTATTATTATCCTTGCATTAACCTTCAGCATTTTGTATTGTGTGTGTTTGTTTTTGTATTAGATGGCATTGTTGCTCCTACTGGTGATGCTGACAGCATGTGCTGCTGCTCCTCAAGGTAAAAAAACAAACAAAACTTTTTACTTCCACATTGTGAAAAGCAAAATGAACCATCACAAGACAGCTACATGCAAATGTGTCTGTCTTACAGGAGCTTGATATTCTTTGATTTTGTTACCTCTATGTACACTCTTTTGAGTATTTTAAGGTTTTTTTTTTTTAATTTTTTTTTACTGTAACAGGATGAAACAAACATGACCTTTATATTAATAGCAACAATGTCAAATATTTAGCTCAAGTCAATTACCAATTTTGTCCATAGACATAATCCTTTTTTAAATTAATTTAGGGATATCAATACAGAACAAAAGTATAATATTAAATATCTATGAAGACAATTACTTGGTCAGTTTGCAGCCTTACCTTCAGTAACAAGTCAGCAGTCAGGATAAGTAAATAAGTCCAAGGTAGGGCGAGGGGAGACAGACTTGCCAACTTTGAAGAGATCTTGAAATGCCACCTTGTGCTGAAAACATTTTCAGCTCATCTACATGTGCGGCCAAAATCAGATCTTATGCCAACACGAGCACTTCATGTTATTTTCACTCTGCATATACCTGGATACCTAGTATTACAATTTTATGGTGTCATTTTATTCTTACATAGCCTATCATTCCAAGTTCAATTACTATGTGCTGATTCTCAATTACTGATGTCAATGTCAGCTGACTGTCCAGAAGAAATGATGGAGAAGTCTGGACATGCAGAGGCACAAGGACAGCTTACTTTACCAACCTAAATGACAAGCAAGCTAGCTTTCAAATTCATTCGTAATGTTAGACTAACGTTAACTTTGTCCACTCCACTTCAGTTCATTTACCTTTGCAAAGAAGTTCAAAGACTGTTCCTCATGTATGGAACCAGTCACTGGAGTGAGAATGGGGTATGAGTGGGATAAAATCAAGGTCAAAAGTGTTGCTCTCGATTTGCATATCCTGGCTACACGCTTCTAAAAACGACATTAAATATTTCTCAATCATCCCCGATTGCAAAAATTAGTTTTCTGGGTGGGTGAAGACAAGAGGGGAAGAATCTTGTGCTGTGATTGGTCAGTCTCTTATTTTGCTTTTTGGCATACTCGATGCTTGTTGGTGTATTGCTGCTACTTCCTGCTTTAAGACTTTGGTACTGTACACCTGGTCAAACTCACAAGCCATCAATAGCTTTGTGCGTCCTTCAAGGTGACAAATCACTCCAGCACATATGCCAGAATGCATACCTGCTACACAAATTGCATACAGGTCACAAGGAACATGATAAGGGCAGACAGCAGCTGAGGGCAGGTAGTGCAGAGGGCAAAGTTCATCTTTGCTGTGCTTGTATTGTGGTTCTACAGATGGCAACATACACTGTCATACAAGTTTCAGACCTGCTACCACAATTCATCTCGTGATTTATTTGTTTATTACCAGAAACTTTAAGAATTTACCTATCACATTCTGATTTTAAATTTCTCTCTTTTTTATAGATCTGTCAGGTAAAATGTTCACCTTCCCACAACAAACCAACTCAGCTCAGGTGAGGCTGACAACATCAAGACAGTATCTGAGGGCTGTGACCGTCTGTCTCAGGTAGTGCTGAATATGGAAATTAATGAAACAACCCACTGTATTTCTGAAAGTGAAAATCATTGTGTATGATAATGTCTTTTTCATGCCTACAGGTATTTTACAGACCTCGGTAGAGATTACAGTCTTTTCTCTTTGGCCACACCCTCTGCTGACAATGCACTTCTGATTTACAAGTGGGCTGCAAGCGATCAGATTCATCTCGCGATCAGGAATAGTGCTGCAGACTTCAGAGGGCAGGACTACAGACTGAACACATGGCACTCAGTTTGTGCCACATGGGATTCTGCGTCTGGTGTAGGGCAGATGTGGTTAGATGGAAAGCCCTCAAGTAGGAAATTCATCAGCTCTGGATCCGACATCAGCGGGCCCATCATAATTGTTTTAGGACAGGTACAGTTTTTAATCAATATACTTAAAAGTGCTGCATGTAATTCTGGAGAGAGATAGTTAATTATTCAGTCTTATTGCCAGGTTGTCTGATACACAGGCTTTGGTTTGGTAGTCGGACCAAGCACAAAGTGCTGATGTCTCCTTTACAGGAATGGGTTGACATTATGGGAAATATATTAATTATCCTTTTCACTATTACTATGTGTTCAAAGAATACACCAGAAAAAATACAGTATTATATAAAACAGGTGTCTCTCTTATCTCAACGTCTGCAAATTCACAGGAGCAGGATTCCCATGGTGGAGGCTTTGACATTAATCAGTCTTTTGTTGGCATGCTGTCTGACGTCCACATGTGGGACCACACCCTTTCCCAATGCCAGATCCAGGACTACGCGGATTATCTGAACTTCACCCCGGGAAATTTGCTCAACTGGAGGAAACTGGAGTTCCAGACTGTAGGGAGGGTGCTGATAGAAAATAAACAAGAGCCCTACTGTTAAACTTTTCAGGTTAAAAAAATCAATGAAAATAATTTTTTAAAAGAACAACAACTCCTCCTTACTCCTAAAGATTGTTTATCTTTTTTTTTAAAAAAAAATCTGTTGTTGACATTATTATCTTGTGCTTTATTTGTTTATCATAGTATTGCAAAAGAATGACTTTTCTTTTTCTTTTTTTCATGTACTTACTGTACAATCATAAACCCAACCAAAGCTAACTTTGCGAGATGAATTTGTGATTGTGAAATTAAAACCGACCATACTGTAGATGAAAACAAGTTCAAATTGTATTGCATTATGTTATTTTTTTCAAAGAATATTATTTTTATAGATATTTCGCATTGTGTGTGCCTCTCGGCAGTAGCTAGGAGTACTGTATATAACAAAAAGCCAAAACATTAAAACCAGCGGTGGGTGAAGTGAGTAACATTGATCATTTTGGTACAATGCAATGTTCTGCTGGGAGACCTTTTTGTCATGGCATTCATGTGGATGCCACTTGATGCCCTCCACCCACCCAAACAACGCTGTGGGCTAAGCTCTTTAGCTCTTTCTCACATTCCTTGGGCCATTCCTGAGCAGTTTCTGGGGTGCAGCATGGTGCATTTTCTTGCTGGGGGGCCACTGCCATCTGGGAAGTTCTGCTGCCATAAGGAGTGAAACTTGATCTGCAGAGGTGTTTGGGTGGATGAAGCCCGTTAAGTGGCATCCTCATGAATTTCTGGACCAAAAGTTCCCCAGGAGAACATTGTATTGTAACAAAATGATCAACGTTACTTTTAATGTTTTGGCTGATCGGTGTATGCCTCCTCTTTTGATTGCTCCACATTCTCTATTCTTCATTTCACTTGTCTTCCAATGGTCTTAAAAGTGTTGTATTTAAAGTTTTGAAGTGAAGTTGTAAAGTTGTATTGTGCTTAATGTAGCTCAACAATGAAATGTAAAAAAGAACACTGTAAATAATAAAGTGAATATTATGTAAACACTAATTTTGTATTGTGATGAAGCAGCTCAAAGTCTAATTTTATAAGTTTAGTTTACCTTATAAGACAGTTTTAAGAGTCCTTAGTCAATATTTTATATTTCCAAATTACTGGAAACTGAGTGCACCCAAAAAGCACCTGAGCGGACACCATCCCTTTATTTCTAGCGCCATCGAGTGTGACCCTCCAACATTGCAGCTTCAGTTACATTGTGTATTGTGTAATACCCCACAGCTCCTGTTGGGTGAGAAAGCGTGTCCCATTCTTCACTGAACAGCTTTGACTGCGCGGCCCATAGAGCAGGCAGAGTAGAGACTTCCGCTGGCTGAGCCAGCTACTTCCGGTCAAGCAAGCATGCTGGTAAAATTACGGTTTGGCCGCTATGTAAATAGGCTTCAAAGCCCAGCCACTTCCTGAGGGCCTGGAACTATAGATTGTACGTCTGCATTTTCGTATGCAGCCACCACACCAAATGTTAGCTGACCTAAAGATTAACATCCCAGTAGTGAAAAAAGTCATTTCACAGGGATTGTGAACTATAGATTGCACTTCTGCATTTTCATATGCTGCTGCCACGGACACAAAGAGAAGAGCTAGACATAACTATAATCAAAAGGTACAACTAGGCAGAGCTGATCAAATATAAACATACATTCTGTTACTGCAGCCTACTGTATTACTTTTTGGTTGTTCTATGATATTTTGTCGACAACAAGTGGTTGCCATACTGTTTCCTGTATTGTAAGAACAGAGGCTGAAAATACTGAGATCAAACGGTTAAACAAAGCAGTGCTGATCACATCTGAATCAAAACTCTGTTAAGATATCACTAGTGATGGCTACAGTAGTCTTGAGTCTTCCTAACTAGGCTAGCTATGGGCTCTAAATCCAAAAAGGGAAAAGTCTCAGGGGAAAAAAGAAAATTTAGTAGTGCATGGACAAATTTGTTTGCTTTCATCGACAATGCTGCAAAATTAAAGTACCAAATAATCACATATAACTACTACATATAAGCACTTGGGTTTTGAGCTTCAGCAGTTCGGGTGCAATGCATCCTTGTACATGTAGGCACTGAAATGACGGCTGTGCAAGAAGGAAACTGCTGTCAATGCAGCACGCACTGAGGAATTTATTGCTTCAGCTGATGGGAAATCTGCTTAACACGTGCATTTCATTTAATGTTTACCATGTTCACTATCTTACTTAAGCATGTCAGCAAGTTGTTTAAGAAGGTGGAGAGTTGTCCCTGAGTATATAATAAATAACCACAAAAATAATACACACTATGTTGATGGTTATCTTGAGGATGTGAAACAATGAATAAATGTAATAAAAAGATAAACGCAGACGTACACGTGAGCGGTCTGTCCTTGTTGTTTGATGAAGTGAGATAAGGCTGTGCTGTCAGAGGAGTTAAGATAATCTTGTCCGGACTGTCTGTGCCAAATTTCGTGGCAATCTATCCATGTCATTTCATTCAAAACCACTAATATGAACCTGCTTGTGGCACTACAGTAGGCATAGAGTCAAGGGGTCATGGGACCCACAAATACTGACTGACCAACAGAATTTGCCATTTATACAGGAACGCCAATACCATGGTTAAAAAACACCTGTTTCCATTATTAAATGTAATTGTGTTGTTTACGGTTCTGACTTATCTTGTTTGTTTTTCATTTTGCATTGTGACTAAGCAGCTCAAAGTCTATTTTGATAAGTTTTATAAGCCTAATAAGACACTTTTAGGAGCCCTTAGTTAATATTCCACATTTCCAAATTACTGGAATCTGAAGCCATAAATTGTACAAGGAAGGAGACAAGAGAAAAACACACAGCTAATAACTGAAACGAGGAAGCAGCAAAAGTATAAAACTCGCACTCCCATACACTGTTGCACACAACATTCTGACACAGGACTCAAGGTAAGATCAACACATGACTGGAAAATAGAGGAATTTAACATGACTGCAACATGTTCCCCTCTTCTACCTGTACTCTATATTGTAGCAGACCAATTAAAGAAACAGAAAACTTCTTGCAGTCTATTACACACTGGTAGAGAAGGTTTTACAGTATCATTATCCTTGCATTAACCCTCAACATTTTGTATTGTGTGTATTTGTCTTTGTATTAGATGGCATTGTTGCTCCTACTGGTGATGCTGACAGCATGTGCTGCTGTTCCTCAAGGTAAAAAAAAAATCTTTTTAATTTCTCAACATGAAAAGCAAAATGAAACATCACAAGACAGATACGTGCATATGTATTGCCATTTGTTGGTGTCATTTTATCTTTTTTATTTCACTTGCCAATATATAAACATTGCTCTGAAATTACATATCATTCCAAGTTCAGTTACTATGTGCTGATCCTCAATGACTGGTGTCAATATCAGCTGACTGTCCAGAAGGATTGAGACAGTCAGAGGCATGGTCATTTCTCTTCCTAGGAATTTTTGTAGTGCGTGCATTCCCTTTATTTAGCCAGATATGCCATTATGTAATAGCCTGTGGAAAGTCACGTTAAGAACGTGTGTCCACATCTTGTTTTTCTCATTCAGAAAAGCAGTTGCAGGGCACTGGGGAATGTATCTTCCCAATGCTTTATAAAGTGCTCGCAGTGCTTTTTTCAGTAATGTACTACATGTGGGTATGTTTCTATATCAGCAATATCTTGACACGAATGTTAGCTAGGTAACCTTACACTATATTAAATGAGGGTTGATTATACAGTTAACAACAAGCTTAGAAGGTGTGCAGTGATAAAAGCACAACTCTTACCAGCAGCAACATTCAGTGTCCAGCCGATGTGTTTCGTGGTGATAGTTTCTGACTGATATCATACAGCTCAGGATAAACAGTAGTCAAAGGAGCAGCAGTGACAACACCAGCGACTTTCTACAAAGTTTAGAAGCTGCAAATTTTCTTTACGTAGCTGGATGCTGTTGCATATGCTCTGTCCTCATTGGGAACAATTGTAAAAAGATGCTGTGGCTAAAAAAACACCTATGTGAATCCTGGCAATTACCATATGTGACACAAGGACAGCTTACTTTACCAACTTAAATGACAAGCAGGCTAGCTTTCAAATTCATTCGTAATGTTAGGCTACCATTAATTCAAAGTTTCTTTATGCTTCTCCGTACACTCTGCAGTTGCTGTGTGCCGATCATAGTTCTGCGTCCTGTTGGTCTATGCCGCTATGCAATTCCCCGCCAAAGTGCTTGGGGGTGCGGTGTTCTTTTATATACCTACCTAGACTCTGTGGTGTCTCTGGTCGTTGCTCGTTCATTGTTTGTTCATCTTCCGGCTTTGCTCTAGTCACAGTGAAGATGGCGGCCGAGAGAGAAAGACTGTTGCTGGAGCTCGAAATGATTGACATTGAACAATAAATGTTCTTATTACAAATGTTACGACGAAGAGAGGCGACTGCGCCGATGGTCTGTACGTCCATTGAATGGCTCAACCAATTGATCACAATAGAGACTTTTGAAAATGGCGGTGTTGTGGTACTGCAGCAGGAAGTGAAACCTTGTGAAATGCCGGAAATGATGTAGCTTGAAGGACCAATCATAGATCTTGCGGTCTGCGTTGGGTCTGTATTGCCTTGATGCGTGGTTGCAAATTTTTTGGAGGTGCACGTCGCGTCTCTGCATCGGTCTCAATCATCCCCGATTGCAAATATTTGTTTTCGTGGGTGGGTGAAGGCAAGGGGGAAAGTATCTTGGCACTGTGATTGGACAACGGCCTCTTCTTTTTTTTCGCTTTTCGGCATACAGGCTGGCCGGTCTGCAATTCATTTTCTATGAGAAGTGACGAATCACAAGGAGCGTGATAAGGACAGACAGCAGCTGAGGGCAGGTAGTGCAGAGGGCAAAGTTCATCTTTGCTGTGCTTGTGTTGTGATTCTCCAGATGGCAACATATACTCAACATGTTTCAGACCTGCTACCACAATTCATCCAGTGATTTTCTGATTTTGAATTTCTCTCTTTTTTTGTAGATCTGTCAGGTAAAATGTTCACCTTCCCACAACAGACCAGCTCAGCTCAGGTGAGGCTGACAACATCAAGACAGTATCTGAGGGATGTGACCGTCTGTCTCAGGTAGTGCTGAATATGCAAATTAACAAAACAACCCATTGTATCTCTATCTCTATAGTAACATTTACCATGTATGATAATGTCTTTTTAATGCCTACAGGTATTTTACAGACCTCCGGAGAGATTACAGTCTTTTCTCTTTGGCCACACCCTCTGTTCCCAATGAAGTTCTGATTTTCAAGACGGGTGCAAGCGATAGGATTGATCTCTGGTTCAGGAATAGTGTTGCAGACTTCGTAGGGCAGGACAACAATCTGAACACATGGCACTCAGTTTGTGCCACATGGGATTCTGCATCTGGACTAGGGCAGCTGTGGTTAGATGGAAAGCCCTCAAGTAGGAAATTCATCAGCTCTGGATCCGACATCAGCGGGCCCTTCATAATTGTTTTGGGACAGGTACAGTTTTTAATTAGTGTTATTAAAAGTGATGTGTGTAATTCTGGAGAGAGATAGTTAATTATTCAGTCTTATTGCCAAGTTGTCTGATACACAGGCTTTGGTTTGGTAGTCAGACCAAGCAACCAACCCAAAGTGCTGATGTCTGACATATCAACAATCAACAATCTTTCTCCAAAGTTACATACAGCTCCTTTACAGGAATGGGTTGACATTATGGGAAATATATTAATTATCTTTTTCACTATTACTATGTGTTCAAAGAATACACCAGAAAAAATACAGTATTACATAAAAGAGATGTCTCTCTTATCTCAATGTCTGCAAATTCACAGGAGCAGGATTCCCATGGTGGAGGCTTTGACATTAATCAGTCTTTTGTTGGCATGCTGTCTGACGTCCACATGTGGGACTACTCCCTTTCGCCATGCATGATCAAGCGGTATATGGATAAACTGAACTTCACCCCGGGAAATTTGCTCAACTGGAGGAAACTGGAGTTCCAGACTGTAGGGAGGGTGCTGATAGAAAATAAGCAAGAGTCCAACTGTTAAACTTTTCAGGTTAAACAAAAGAGTGAAATTCAAAAAAAAAAAACAAACAAAAAAAAAACCTCCTTCTACCACCTTCTAAAAATCTGTTGTTGATATTATTATCTTTTGCTGTATTTGTTCATCATATTATTGCAAAAGAGTGACTTTTCTCTTTTTTTAGGTACTTAATGTGCAATCATAAATCCATCCATACTGTAGAGGAAAACAAAGTTCAAATTGTATTACATCAGTTTATGTTATTTTTTCCAAAGAACATTATTTCTATAGATATTGCACATTGTGTGTGCTCTCCAATAGTAGCTTGTGAGTACTGTGTATGTCTCCTATCGCTCCACATTCTGTATTCTTCATTTCAGTTGTCTCCCAGTGGTCTCATTTATGCTGTATTTAAAGCAAGATCAAACAAGTTTTGAAGTGAAGTTGTAAAGTTGTATTGTGTTTAATAACTTCTGTAGATCAACAATGAAATGTAAAAAAGAACACTGTAAATAATAAAGTGAATATTATGTAAACGCTCTAATTTTGTATTGTGATGAAGCAGCTCAAAGTCTAATTTTATAAGTTCAGTATACCTTATAAGACAGTTTTAAGAGTCCTTAATTAATATTTTACATTTCCAAATTACTGGAATCTGAAGCCATATATTGCATGCAAGGAAGGAGACAAGAAGAAAACACACCACTGTGAATCGCAATAAGGAAGCAGTGAAAGTATAACACTCACAGACACTGTTGCACATAACAGCCTGAAACAAGAATCAAGGTGAGATCAACTCATGAATTAACTGCATTATATACAAACATTGTAGCAGACCAATTTAATAAACAGCAAACTGCTTGCAGTTTATTACAGACTGGTGGTGAAAGTATTGTTACAGTTTTAGGGTCTTTGCATTGACTCTCAGCATTGTGTACGGTGTGTATTTGTCTTTGTTTTAGATGGCATTGTTGCTCCTACTGGTGATGCTGACAGCATGTGCTGTTGTTCCTCAAGGTGAAAGATGTCATTTAACAAAGGCAAAAGCTAAATGAAACATCACAAGACAGATTGTTTCCTGACAAACAATACCGGCTTATATGACATCATGCATACTTGCTACAAAAGCTGTGTACAGGTTGGCAGGTGTGCAATTCTTCAAGTTGCAAATGCCTCGCAAGGAACACAACAAGGCAGACAGCAGCTGTGGTCAGGTAGTGCAGAGGGCAAAGTTCATCTTAGCTGCAGTAGCTGTGTGGCTCTGTCCAGAAGTATATTCAACATGTTTCAGACTTGTTACTACAATTAATATAGTGATTTGATTTTCAGCTTCAGCTTATGTCTTCTCAGAACCTCTTTTTAAGAAATATTCAGATGTCTGTCCACTGAATATATCTTCTCTAATTCATTTGTCTCTTTTTTATAGATCTGTCAGGTAAAATGTTTACCTTCCCACAACAAACCAACTCAGCTCAGGTGAGGCTGGTATTATCAGGACTGGATCTGAGTGCTTTAACAGTCTGTCTCAGGTAGTATTGGACATGTAAAACTAATAAAACAACCCATTGTATCTCTGAGGGTAAAAATCATCATGTATGATAATGTCTTTTTAAATGCCTACAGGTTTTTTACAGACCTCGGTAGAGAATACAGTCTTTTCTCTTTGGCCACACCCTCTGCTAACAATGCACTTCTGATTTACAAGGAGGCTGCAAATGATGTGATAAGTCTCTGGATCAGGAATTATCATGACGACTTTAGAGGGCAGGACTACAGACTGAACACACGGCACTCAGTTTGTGCCACATGGGATTCTGCGTCTGGACTAGGGCAGATGTGGTTAGATGGAAAGCCCTCAAGTAGGAAATTCATCAGTTCTGGATCTGACATCAGCGGGCCCATCATAATTGTTTTGGGACAGGTACAGTTAATGAATAATCAATATATTTAAAAGTGCTGCATGTAATTCTGGAGAGAGATAGTTAATTATTCAGTCTCATTCCTAGCTTGTCAAATACCAGGTCAACAGTATGGGAAATACACTGATAAGGTGATCAACACCAGTCTCATGTCAGCATGGCAAATATGTAACGAGGGTCGGCCACCTGTTAGCTTAGCTTAACACAAAGACTGGAAGCTCTGTCCAAAGGAAAGATACTCACTCTACCAGCACCTCTAAATCTCAGTAATTAACACCTTGTTATTTGTTTAGTCTATACAAACGTGCAAAAACATTACTCATCTTTTAAGAATGGTTATGTGCAGGACTGTTTCCCAGCCAGGAGCAGTTACTTCTCTGTCTTCTCATTTCTGCCGACTTCCTGGCAACTGCTGCTGGCCAAGAAATACTCTGGCACACAACTCCTTAGAAAACAGCTAACTATTTTTGTTTGGTTTTTGTTTGTTTGTTTTGGTTTTTATCTTAGAATTTTGGTATTAATATGTACTAGTCCATAACCATTGAGTGCACAGTTGCACATGGTGTGTGTTTGGGATACAGGTCATAGGAAATTGCAGATTAAATAGTCAACTGAACCCATTAAGAAGAGTAATGTATTCAGACAGAGTTTTTGTGAATTTGATAGTACAATTGCTTTATTGAAAGTACAGTAGTACCATTGCCAATAGTGGGCTAAAACTGTACATTAGTAGTTGAGGTAGCACGCTGAAAGGCAGATAGTTAAAGTCATTGCCTTATAGAAGCTCAGTTTTAGTAAGTTTTCCCAACATTTGCCAAGAGGGAACTTTAGATATTGGTCCCTAGATTATGTTCACTGAGTTTCATGCAGATCGGTCAAACTTCCTAGGAAGAGATCAATTTTAAGTGTTTTTCAAAAAAATTCAAAATGGCGGAAAATCTCTATAACCGGAAGTTATGGGTTCTTGAGGCAAATTTGTTCCTCATGAGGAGAGACATCTCTGTGTTTCATGTCTCTATGACATATGGGGCATGAGATATGCCCATTCAAAATTTGCAATTTCAATCGGTTGCTATAGCGCCCCCCTTTGGCCAATTGATGTAATATTGCTTCATTTGCATCCTCCCATGACCCTCTACCACTGAGCCAAATTTCACATGGATTGACCGAGTCAGTGAGGAGAAAAACGTGGAACAGACACACCCACACACCCACAGACAGAGTTTTCGTCATTATATCATAAGATATTGCTTTGGACAAAGGCATTTTTTTCACACAGATAGCCTTGGATTGTTAGTATAATTATCCAACAACATAACGGAAAGGAGAAATGAACGTCTGTGTTTACCTTTAGCTGGATTTGGGAATTGTTCCTCTGCCTATTGCTGCTCCCTCTCTCTCCTCGTCCGCTCTTCAATTTCAAATTACACATCTGTAATGTGCATTTACCTGCTCTCTATAACAACATTGTATTGTTGTGTAAAAGGGAAGTGTTCACAAGGAAGTAACGCAGATCCATGACTGAAATGCACATAGACGAGGAATGAGTTAACAGGGAGAGTATAAAACTCACACCTGTTCACTGTTGTGCAAAACATCCTGACAGAGGCCTGAAGGTAAGCTCACAACATGATGTCCAATGCAAAATAGAGTAAATTGAGGCGACTGAACTTTTTCTATCTGCTGTATGTTGCATCATGTAGGAACACAACAGGATCTGATTTATTATATGTGTCTGTATTTGTCTTTGTGTCAGATGGCGTTTTTGCTTCTCCTGGTAACGCTGACGGCATGTGCTGCAATGCCTCAAGGTAAAATATATGCATAAATATTCTTTATTTGACAGAGGGAATGCAAAAGGAATTTTGCAATAAGCTTATGCATGTACATGTACATGTACATGTACACAGTTTTCCACAAAAAAACAAACAAACAATTTTTCAAAATTAACAGAATGAAAACAGTTGTATGGGCTAATTGCAACTCGTGAAAACTTATGACAGGTATGTCTAAATTACTAACGTTGCGTACATCTGTCATTCTTGTTCTTTTTAATCATAAATTTGTTTCGTACTGCACAGGGTACATAGATTTGTGTGTGTGTGTGTGTGTGTGTGTGTGTGTTATAATATGTTCTGCGTATCTGTGTTCATTTGTTGCATTCACAGACTCGACATCAAAGCATGTGATATTTCCACTTTCATCAAAAAATTAATTATTCTGTTTGCGGGAGGAAACAACCCACCTTTAGATCTAAACAGAAAAACGGATTTTGTTAACCATACATGTTGACTTGGCTTCATGAAAACTTCACAACATTTACAAATCTCAAATGATGAAGGGGCCACACCATGGCGAGCGGTGCTCACATGTTTCCCATTTGATTTCAAGCATCAGTGGTTCATATGCTTCTGTATGTTCCTACAGTACATGAACATTTAGCATTTTTCTTTCTTCTTCTTTTTCTTTTTGGTAGATCTGTCTGGTAAAATGTTGACCTTCCCGGAGCAAACCAACACGGCAAATGTGAGACTGATAACTTCAGCAAAGAATTTCAGTGCTGTAACTGTCTGTCTCAGGTAGTGCTTAAAGTGCAAAATGCATGCAAGAACTCACTATAACTCTGACTATAGAAGTATTATATATGATTTCTTTGTTTTTTCTTTCAATTCCTATGAATAAAATGTATTGTTATTATGATTATTATTATTTTTTTAGGGCATTTTTGCCTTGAATTGATAGGACAGCTCAGTTTGAAGTGGGGAGAGAGAGAGAGGGGATGACATGCAGCAAAGGGCCACAGGTTGGAATCGAACCCGAGCCACTGCGGCAACAGCCTTGTACATGGGGCGCCTGCTCTATCCACTAAGTCACAGATGCCCCAATGATTATCATTATTAAACAGATGTGCCTAAAAGCCGGTTCCAAAATATGCAGTTTGATCACACAACACAGTTGCCATAGATGTTATAAGTTATGTTAACCGAAGATTTTATAAATAATAAATTGGATGTAATGTAAACACTTCGTTTCTGAAATGAATGATTTGATTTTCCGTAAAAGCTGGACTTACTGCTACAAAAGCACAAGCTATTCTGTAAGTGGTTATCTTAAATGAAATATGATTTTGGTAATAATCTAGCTTTAAATGTTTCTTGCCACAAATCAGTTGAAAAGATTGTTACCACTTTAACGTCTGTACAATACAGAAAGTTGCAGCCAGTTAGCTTAGCATAGCTTAGCATAACGACTGAAAACAGGGAAAAACAGCTAGCCTATCCTCTAAGGACCACTAATTTGTACATTGTGTTGTACTTGTTTTATACACACAAAAACAGATTTGTGAGATATTATTTCTTTGTGGGGCACAGCCATTTAATTTAGTCCTGGCCTAAATTTTGGCAAGAAAGAGAGTAAATGTAGGCTAAGGCTACTAATGCTTTAAAATAACAGAGAAGTGCAGAAGTGAGTCCTGCTCATCCAATGAGTTATTTATTTGAGCGTGTAAAGAAAAACTAATAATAAATACCAGTAGAAAAAAATATAAATCAAATGACACATAGATGTCCCTTAATTTATTGTTTTCTTTTGGTTTGCATGTATTTTTAAGATGCTGTGCTTTAAA